TTTAGTGATCATAGGTTTGGGGTTACAGTTCGGTACTTGGTTTCTGAAAGCTTTACCATCTCTGCTATAGGCTCTCTTTGCTGTGTTGGTTGTTTCTCTTGCAATGCAGAAACTGTTTAATTTTATGTAGTTCTGTTGATCTTATTACTTCAAGTGCTATCAGAGTCCTGTTGAGGAAATTTAATCTATGTCTGTGGCTTCAACTGTCTCTTCTGTGTTTTCTTCTAGCAGTTTCAAAGTCTCAGATCTTTTGTGGGAATTCATATATATATGTATATATGTATGTATGTATATATAATTTGAGACAGGTCTCGCCATGTGATCCAGGCTAGCCTCAGACTCACTGTCAGGCCCAGGCTGGTTTTGAACTCAGTGATCCTCTTGCCTCAGCCTCCCAAGTACTGGAATTGTAGGCATGTGCCACTATGCCCAAATTCTCAGATCTTATATATAGGTCTTTGAATGATTTTAGATTGATGTTTGTATAGGTTGAGAGATAGGGATCTAGTTTCAGTCTTCTACATATGAATGTCCAGTTCTCCCAGTACCATTTATTAAAGAGCCTGCCTTTTTTCCAGTGTATACTTTGGGTCCTTTGTCAAGAATCAGATGGCTGCAGTTTCTTGAGTTTGTTTCTGTATCCTGTGGGGTCCACTGTTTTAGATGTCTGCGTTTGTGCCAGTACCATGCTGTTTTTGTTACTGTAGCTTTGTAGTATAATTAGAAACGTGGTATTGTGATATAGTACTTCCAGCTTTGCTATTTTTGTGTAGGATCACATCCTCTGTGTTTCTGTGTGAATTCCAGGATTGTGCTTTCTAGTACCGGGAAAAATGTCATTGGCATTTTGTTGGGAATTATGCTACCTTTGGTTGCTCCTAGTAATACAGGCATTTGTCAGTAGTCATTCTGCTGATGCAGGAGTGGGGTGGTCTTTCCGTATGCTGGGATCTTCAGTTTCTTTTTCTAGAGCTCTGTGATTTCCACTGTAAGGATCTTAGTTGTCTTGATTTGGTTGATTCCTAGGTATTTTTTTTAATTTTTTATTTTAAAGAGAGTAAAGCAAAAGAGAACAGAACAAAGCAGATCAGAACAGAACAAAGCAGGCAACACAGTATTTCACAACAAAACAACCAGACATCGACAATAGCTACCATGATGTCTCTTTTCTTCGAAATAGTTGAATATACCTTCATACACAGTAATGTCAAACATAACAGTATAGTATAAAACCATTCAAAAGAATGAAAGCATTGCAGGACTTCAAAACCAAGTAACAGGAAATGAACAATGGCTCCAATAATATCTCATTTTCCTAAAAAAAATTTGTCTATACCATCACACAGAATACCATCAAATAAACACAATGGGATAAAACCAATCAAAACAGAAGAACAAATGCATGGTAGGACTTCAAAATAAGATGATTGTAAATCAGCAATGGCTACCATAATGTCTTATTGTCTTCAAAATAGCTGTTCATGCCATCACACGTAATAAAATCAAACAAAACAGAATAAAGCCAAACAAACAAATGAATGAAGCATTATAAGACTTTAAAGCAGTATAATAAGAAACCATGATTACCGTAAAATATCCCATTACATTCTAAATAGGGACCCCTACCATCTGACAGCATAGAGTCTAACAAAAGAAGACAGAAGCCAAACCTAACAGAATTGTGTAAGCAGTGCAGGAGTCCAAGAGAAGACAGTAAGACACCGGCAGCAGTTTACCTTTCTGCCTTCCCCTCCTGGGTGTTTCCTCTGCCTTGCTATTGGGTCCCAGTAACTTCTTCTGTTCCTTATGCTAGAGTTCACACGTGAGTTCATACTGTTTTGGTCGTGAGCATGATCTCCAGTTGCATCCATTTACTTATAGGAGCCTTGAGATGATTCTACTTTATAGCTGGGTAACACTGCACTGCGTGAAAATAACATATGTCTTTCTTATCCATTCTGCAGTTGTTTGGCAAGTTACTCTTGATTTGTTTTGGTCTCCTGTCACATGGAACAATTGTTCTCTCTCCTTTGATTTTCAGTCTATGAATTTCCTTTACATGTTTCTGGTATACAGTGTATCAGTGTATTGATGGATCTTGTTTCTCGATCCACTCTCCCTGTGTTTCTTTTTGTTGCTGACCTGAGGCCATCTACATTTTAATGGTTACAGCCTACACACAGTGGTTTGCTCTGCCCTGCTGTCCTCCTGCTGCTGGCCCTCCACTTTTCCCCTTCGTTCAGTTGCCTGTCTTGTTCGGTGATTCTCTTCTGCTGCTGTCCTGGAACCGTGGTCAGCTTTATCTCTCTCTAGAATATCCTTTAGCGCTCTCGGTAGGGTTAGTTTGGTTGTCTGAATTCCTTCAGTTGTTCTTTGTCATGGAAGTATTTTATTTTTCCATCAATTATGAAAGATAGTTTTGCAGGGTAGATCAATCTGGGTTGGAAGTTGTCTTTTTTCATGGTTTGAAACACTTCACTCCAAACTCTTCTTGACTTGATGGTTTGTGTGGACAAGTCTGCCATGATTCTGATTGGTTTTCCTTTATAAGTGATCTGTCTCTTTTCTTTAACAGCTTTTAATATTCTGTTCTTGTGCTGCATTTCTGGGATCTTGATTATTATATGTCTGGGTGTAGGTTTACTTTGGTTATGGCTACAGTCATATATATATATATATATATATATATATATATATATATTCCTATATGCCTCACTTATTTGCACGCCGGGTCCATTTCCCATGTTTGGGAAGTTTTCTTCTTTTGCTTCTGTGAATGTCCTTTTAATTTCATTTGTGTTGACCCTGCTTCTTCCTTGATACCTCTCACTCTTAAGTTATGCTGCTTTGTATCATCTTGCAGCTGTTGAGTTGTTACCTCCCGATTGCATGTTATTATTAAGAGATCTTTTCTTTCATGTTCACTACCTGTCTTCAAGGTTTGAAAATCTATCTTCAGACACTTTCAAGTGGTTTTTGCCAGCTTTCGATTGAATTTTTAATTTCCTACATCTCTTTGAATCTTTCTCATGCATTGTAATTCCTTTCTGCATTCATTCAAGGGTTCCATCATTTTCCTGTGCTCCTCTTGTCTATGTCTTCTTTAGACCTGCTCAACAATTCTTTCAGTATGTTTGTGATTTCTTCTTTGACCTGAGACATTATTTCTGATCTTCCAGTCTCATGAAGTTGTTTCCTTACTTCAGTTGCTATCCTCTCAGAGGTGTCAGGTGTGTGACTTCCGTTTCCTTCCATGACCGTGTCTCCCAGACTTGTTCTGTGTGGGCTGGAGGTCTCAGTTTGCCTTCTTCTCCTTCATCTTGACATTCTCCTGGGTTCTTCTCCACAAGCTGGTTGTGGGGCCCCAGGCACTTCCCTGTTGGCTGCCCCTAGCGGGGTAGGGGGATGAGACAGACACCTGGGTTCCTCTAATTCCAGATTTACAGGGAGATAGCAGAGCATGGAGCGGGCTTCTCCACACCTATGCAGCTACACTGTGGCTTCCCTAAGAAGCAGGGGCCGTGGAGGTGGGGCTGCTTCTCTCAGCCTGTGTGTCTACACTGGGACTCCCACGATGGTGGCAGACACACAGGAGTGTGTTTGTCTGATTCTGCTAGTGGGCGATGGCTGCCTGAGGGAACCAGGGGTCTCCAGTGTTGGCTTATGGATGCACAGGGCTTACCAGACTGTGTGTCCCTGCTCCTGCTGGCCGCCTGCAGGAAGCAGCCTTCTGGTGGCAGCTCCCTGAAGGTGAAGGCGGATCTGCTGGTTCTCTCTGCCCACACTGGCCACCTGTAGAATGTGACCTTTTGGTGGTGGTGCCCAGCAGGCAGAGGTGGACCTGTCTGTCTCCCTTGACTGCACTGGGCACATGGGAGAAATAGCCTTCCGGTGGTGGTGCCCAGCAGACAGAGGCAGATCTCCTGGTTTTCTCAGCCTGTGCTGGGATCGCAGAGCAAAGGCGTTAGGTATTTTTTAAAGCTATTTTGAATGGAATCATTTCCCTAATTTCTTTCTTAACTAGTTTATTATTCATAAATAGAAAAGTCTGTTTTTTTCTGTTGATTTTGTGTCCTGCTTTGGTCAGTTCTTCTTAGCGTTGTCCAGCTTCGTAGACATCAGCTCCTGAGTTTCATACACCAGGTGAACTCAGTCATGGTGAGTGGGCTGCCAATTGTGTTACCCATCCCTCTTTCTCCCTTGTCTCTGATGCAACTTCCAGCCCATAAATATTTAGTTATGCGCTAATTTTTTAAAAAAAACTCACACAGGTTCACAAAGATAGTGCACCTAAGGGTGTTTACCACAGTGTTTGTAGTACTTTGTAAAAGTGAAACATTTCAGATATCCATTACAGACTTTGGTGAACGGATTGTATTATAACCACACATACAAAAATAAAATGTCCAACTTAATGGTTATTAGTATTTTTGCAGGATTGCATATCAATCTAGTTTTACATTTCACCCATGCCGAAGAAGCCTGGCATTATTGGCCGTCACATCTGTGTTCTCCCTACCCAAGGTGTGTCCCCAGCCCTGTCTTTACCGGCAGCCCCTGGCAGCAGTTAATTTCCTTTCTGTGTTACAAGGCTGTGTGTCCTGGGTATTAATACAAATGGAGTCGTACAACATGTGTTTTGTCACTATCCTTTTTCACTTGGCCTGGTTTTTCATTCCTGTTGCCGCACGTGTCAGCTTTCTTTCTTTTCACTGCTAACTAATGCTCTTTATATGGACCTCCTACAGTAATACTCTTTTGAATGGGCTTGTCACAGCCCATTTATGGATTCATCTGTTGATAGACTGTGGGCTCTTCCCACCTTTTGGCTGTGACAAGTAGTGCTGCTATGCCTTCTTTCTTACAAAGCTTTGAGTGGACCTACATGGTCTCTTTGGTTGGTATGTTGTATTTTGTTTTCCAAAGAGGCTTTGCCATAGAAGACCTTTCACGCCTGATTTGATAATGCTGCAGTTTCTAAAATAATAATCTTTTGCCAGGGTCAGCAATTCCCAGCACTGCTTACGGATCCCTCTCTCTCAGGCCAAGGAGGATCAGGCTCACCGCAGGTTATACTAGTGAGCCACACCCCACAGTCATCCTCAGCCACTTGTGAAGAAATAGCTTACCAGGTACGGGGTTATTTTCTTTACCTTCCTTGGGAAGACTGATGCTAGAGAACCATGTGGGTGGCCTGGGCAAGTGGGGCTGACCATGGAGGATTTCCCACGGAAGCCAGAGCAAAGGAAGATACAGAGCTCTTGGGGCATATGTCAGATGATGGATCTTTGGTTGTAGTCTTTGGGATTTGTTTTGGGAATATGGTTTAGTACCACGGACTTTCGTGGCATGCTTCAAAAATGACATCAGTGTTCAATCTGTTATTATCTTGTTTGCCTTCTGATCAGACTTCACATAGTCATTTACTTATACGTAGTTCTTGTAGAGTTTTTTGGTAACATCTTTGCTGATTCTTTTAAGTCATGTAATTTTACCTATACAGATACATTTGAGTGAGACCTGTTCCTCATTTTATTTTATTTTCTTTCCCTCCCCCTCTCTTTTTTGGATGGAGTATTACCATGCCATGCACATTTCTATTTAGATCTCATGTTAACCTTTATGTTGTTATACAGTTGGGTAAACTGAGGCACAAGACATGAGGAAGAAACGCAATTTGCTTGTAGGCAGTTGAACCATAGAACTATTTATCGCTTTGACCACATGTTTGGGCAATTCTTCAGTAAGATGATGTTTCTTAAATGTTTCTGTGGAAGTGAATCTAAGTTCACAATACTAGGGGGTACTACACACACACAAATATGCTGTTGATTGTGCCCCCAGGAAATTTCCATGCCTTTGTTCGTAATGATACTTTTTTTTTTTTTTTTTTTGGTGTGCTGTTCCTGGAGGCACTTGCAGTACCAGGTAGATACGTGGAGTGTGTAGAGCAAGCTCCTGTTCCATCTCTCAGCTCCAAAAACCCATTTACTATATTGTCCTGGGATAGAGGATATATCAGATAGTAAACTGATGAGAACAGGTACTACACTTGATCTTAGGCAGAAGGTCAAGAAATGATAATGATATACTTTGGAACTTCTAATGAACTAGCAAAAGGAAATGAAACTTTGCTTAAAGAAAAGTTGAGGCAGTGGTTGTCCACCTATTGTCAAATATGCAGACTTCTGAGCTCAGTTCCTGGTGTTTAGTGTCTGCTATTGTGACATTATTTAAAAAAAAAAAAAAAAAAAAATATATATATATATATATATATATATATATATATTTGCACAGATGTTGGTGGTCAGTGATAAGCATGAAGTACTCGTGGCTGGCTAAGCTGCCCAGTTTCCACTTCTACCCCCAGGTTAAAACCAGCTGTCCTGTATAAATCAGATCATTAACATAAACTATTGGACATGGCCCAAAGCATGGGGTATAAAATACATTCTTGGGCTGAAGCTGTAGCTCAGTGGTAGAGCACTTGCCTTGAATATGTGAGACCTTGGGTACCATCCTCAGCAGCATACACAGTTACTACACTGTACTGCAACACACTGTTTTGGGGGAGCCTATCCTAACGGCTTATAGTCTATGTTTCAGAAGCTGGTCAGAGGTAGCCCTTCCACTAAGACGCACAGTTTGAACCCCTAAAGCCTGGAGAGTCAGCTACATTCCACACCTGTTGATTGCCAAACAGAGAAACCATTGACTTCATTGTCACTTCACTATTTTTAATCTCACTATATCGTACTTTTTGTAGTGAGACCTTATTAGTCTCCCAAGTTGTGCTTCTTATCCAATTTCAATATTAATATGACAGGTAAACAAAAACTACTTTACTGTTTTTTATGATTTTCCCCAACATTTCAAATTAATATAGTTACAGTGATTTTTGAGAATATTCTTGTGTTAAAATTAGTTTGGAATTTTCTCATTACAGTAATTCATGTTAGTGTCCATTTGAAAGTATGTGGTAATGTAAGTATTGGAATCTGGTATAGCTTGTGATTTTTCCCCCAAAACTTAAAATATTAATGTTGAAGTGGCACAAATAACTAATCAGCATCAGTGAGCATTTAGCCAAAATGCGCCCCTGATATTTTCTCCGATGTCCTCCTGTCGGGGTGCGGCACTGCTTGCAGTGTCAGTTGCTTTTCACCACTGTCAGGTGTAACCTGTGTCCTGCTGCAGCACACAGGCATGTATGGAAGCTGCAGACCCTGACTCAGGCCTCCTGACCCCGGGCTGGCTTTGCGTGTCCCACGCCCTTGGCAGGAAACCAGAGCTGCTCTAGTTACGGTGGATTTATCTCGGGGCTCTGGACATGACTGCTGGCCCCATGTGTACATATCCCTCCTCCTCTGCTTTCTTGCTAAGGCCCATAGGCAGTCTTAATTTGTATGAAGTGCTACTTTTAGATCAGATCATTAGCCAGGTGTGGGGACGCAGGCCTATAATCCCTGCACTCAGGAGGCTGAGGCAGGAGGATCACTACAGGTTCAAGGTCAGCCTGAGCTACATAATGAGACCTTGTCTGAAAACAAAAAATAAATAAAATAAAACTGATCACTTTTGAATTAATGCATGAATAAGTAAGAGAGATTAGGTGTGTGAAGTGCCTCGGTCCTGAGCACAGGTTCTGGAACAGCTTTCAGCTGATGGCAGATGTGAATGCTGCTGTCAGGGTTGGTACATGTGGAGCCTGGCTGCCTTCTGGTTAAGTCCGTGGAGGCAAAGGTTTGGCTTGGCTTGGCTGGGCTTTTAAAATGTTTTTTTCTTCATGCTTAATGTGAAAAGAAATGCAAACTGAGCCAGACATGGTCATGCATGCCTGTAATGCCAGCTCCCTAGAGAATGAGGCAGGAGGATCAGAAGTCTATGGCTAGCCTGGGCTACTTAGTGAGACCCTGTTTTAAAATGAAGTGTGAAAAGGGCTGGGGATGTAACTGTGCATCCCTGAGTTCCATCCCCAGTGCTGAACAAGAGCTAGACAGTCTGTACAGAGCTGATGATATGTACACTCTTAGTGTAAACTGTCTTTGGCACAGGAGCTGTAGATAGACTGCCACTGAACTGGCCCGTCTTTACAAAAGCAAGAAACTGCCTTCAGTCTGAGTGTTCCTGGGAGGGCCCAGAGGCTGGACCCACAGTGCTGACAGCTTGAAGGTGGCAAATCAAGGAGATTTTATCCAGCAAGAGCCTGTCTTCCGGCAATCGGGCCTTTATTCCTTCACTCACTGCGTGAAGGCACAGTACCCTGTTTTGAAGTTATTTTTCCTGTGGGAAAAGAGCATACACTTGCTGCCAGATGCCCGAGGCTGGCTCTTTCTTGGGCACTTGGTGTGTGCTATTGAGAGTGGCCATCACTGTCAATCTGTGAAGTGTCCGAAAGTCATTGCTACCTTTTACTCAGGAAATAGGGAACTGCGATGCCAGGATGGCTGTGCATGACCAAGGTGCAGGGCTCAGAGCCAGGGCTGCCCGTGAGCCCAGGTCTGTTGTGCTTCACACAGAATGCAGGTCTAGATATTTTTGCTGAGTTTCCTATGAATTGGAGTCAGCTGGTCTCCAGGGGACCTTCTTGGAGGCGAGGCTGTCGGAGGGAGATGTGGGTCAGCAGGGTTGTCATATGCATAAGGGCACAGGGAGCAGATTCCTTCAGGTAACAGCCAGTTCCTGAGCCAGGACAGCCACCCGCTGTGGAGAATGTCCGGTCCGTGAGAAGTCTCTGCGCTATGATGCCGTGACTGCGAGACTGCAGGGGAGGAGTGGGGCCTTGCTCTTTGCTCTGCTTCTTGACCGTCAGTGTAGTAGACTAAATAGATTAACTTCTGCCCGGAAACTGCCCACCCCTAAACATTGCCCTTATAGGTTCAGAATGCTCTGAACTGGGGAGCAAATTACTTCTGACTTAAGAGTGTGTATCTCACTCAGGACCAGTTTTCTACTAAAATTGAATTCACTCTGTGTTCTGATTTCCATGTAACAGTTGTGAAAATCAGTGGAACATTGATAATCTACTATACAGAAGTTGTAGAAACATGACTTAAAAGTTTTATTTCTGATGCAATGGTTTACTGATTCTTGGGTATGCTAACAGTTATTTTGTAGAAGTAATTTTCAAAGTTTCAACGTCTTTTCTTTGAAATAGACCATTGAATTGATTTCTCTTTTGTTTCATTCTTTATTTTTTGAGACAGAGTGTTGCTTGTAGTCTAGCCTGGCTTTAAACTCCCCGTGTGCTCGCAGGCTGGCCTCAAACTTGCAGTGATCCTTCCTCTTCCGCCTCCTGGGTGCTGGGATTGCAAGTGTGCTAAACTTGCCTGGCATCTATTGATTTCTCATGAGTGAAATGTTTGATTCAGTTATGATGACTGTTGATAAATATTTCAAATGGAGAATATTAGGCAGCACTGTTAGCTAAAGATTTTGTTTTAATGTCCATCGCATACTGTTTCTTTTAATCACACTGTTTTTTTTTTTTACTTGAAGTTATAGAGTAGTTTTGACTCTTTCAGTTATTCCAGGGATATTCAATTTTTTCTTTGACTCACAAGAAATGCATTTTATGCAGTGACCTTATTGCCACATGTGTTTTATTTTCATACACATATATATGTAAACACACACACACAACACAAGTCTTAGCCTTTATGGGGGTGTGTGCATCTGTCATCCCAGCAGGGAAGTTAAGTTAGAAGGATCACAAGTTTGAACCCACCTGAGCAACTTAGCAAAACCTGGCTTAAAATTAAGAATTACGAAAAGGAGAGAGAGTCCAGGGCAATAGTAAAATGCAGAGACCCCAAGGCCAGTCCCCAGAACCACAAAATGAAACACTTGCTTTGTGACATGAAACATAGTTACAGTGTCTTTGCTCTTCTGAGATTTTCTGTTTTATTTCATTTTTTTCAAATTCCCCTTCTTTTTTTTAAACTATAGTAAAAGTTACATGACATGAGAACACCTTGTAGAAATTGTTCCTAAATATTTCTTCAATGTTTAACCATTTCTTCATGGTCTAATGTTATGAAAAAACATAGGATAAACTAGTAATAAAGTATTTCTCATAAATTTTCCTTATGATTGTTTCATTAAAATCATTATGTAGAGATTTATACCCACAAAACTGGAAGTCTGTTGTTTTTATAAGCTAAGAAATAAACCCTTTGTATTTTATTCTTTTTTAAGTGATGGAAGCATCTCACTGAAATGATTTGAAAATCTACTAATTGGTTGTGATCCACAGTTCAGGAGACATATTTTAGTTCAGTCAGTGCTAAAGACACTGTTTGCTGTTATGGAGTATTTATAGTGCATTTTGCTGAAAAAAATCATCCACCAAAGCAGCAGCATTTTAAAAGCAATATTGTTGATACTACTCCAGTCTAAAACTGCTGCTCCTGATGAGCATCTGTGGAGCGTGTGCTGTGTCTCAGGTGTGTTCTGAGCACATACACCTCACATGTCCCTGAGTTTGCCTTCACCCTGATACATAGGCCTCATTGTTCTGCCTGTCACTGCTCCCTGAGAAGACAGGGCTGAGGAGCTAAGTAGTTGGCCCAGAGCATCCAGGAAGGCAGTATAGGAATGAATCTGCAGAGTGCATGCACAAAAACTATTTGAGTTTTGCTTAGCCAGTACATAGTAGATTTCAAGGATCCCAAGGCCACAGTGGACATTCTGGTCCAACGGAATGTTGGTGTCCTTGGTGTCTTTGCTAAGGTGGAGAAATGCGTGGGGTTGGAGGTGCACCTGTGTTGGGCATACACCTGTTGCTATCTGGCTTGTCCGTCAGTTCAGAGACCCCACTAGTCTAGTAATCAGAGAACTCCTGACTTCTTCAGGTGACTGATGTCTCTGCCCACCTGGCTCCTGGTGACCAGCCTGAGAAGGAGTGCCCAGCACACCAGTGCCTAGAGTGTGACCGCACCTTCTCCTCCGCTGCGGTCCTGATGCACCACAGCAAGGAGGTGCATGGCAAGGAGCGCATCCACGGCTGCCGCATCTGCAGGAAGGCCTTCAAGCGTGCCACACACCTCAAGGTACACACCTAAGGGATGGTACCCATTGTTCCTGCAGGCCGAAAGGAAAGGCCCTGCTTTGTTCTGATGAAGAGGTCACTAGTGTAAATGTGTATACTGAGTCTTTAGTAATGGTCATTGTGGTGTGCAGTTGGGTGGATTACAATTCGTGTACAATTCAGAATCAGTTTTTAATGCAGATTGAAATAACGTTGGAATATCACTTCCCACCTGTAAGGCTCAGGGAAATGTACCAAGCTGTCAGCACTTGTTGTCGAGCTTAGGGGGAAGCAGGCACTTGTGTGGCCCATAGGAGTTCTCAGGGAAAGAGGTGGTACGTAGTGACGTGTTTGTGCTCACCTGGGTAACCAGCCCTCAGGTGCCCCTGTCCAGCATGGTGTTTGCACACAGGTTCTTTACCTGTGTGGCTACCACAAAGGAGACAGGGAAGGTGGACATCCTGCAGAAGGCCCTGGATAAAGGGGAAGCGATGAGGAAGAGCTAGGGATGGTAATGAGATGAGCCCATGATGTCCAGCCCAGGGCCTTCCTTTACAAGGGAACGCCGCAGCAGAGGGCGAAGCCAGGCTGAAGCCTAGCAGACAGTCCAGGTCCTCATCCACGTTGCCAGTCACTTCAGTGTGTGTCCTGGCTGCATGACACTTTCCCCTCCCACACCACGTGATCTCCACCAGATCGTGAGACAGCCGTCACACAGTGCCCAGCTGAGGATCGACCTGCAAAATACCTGACCCCCTCAAAACCCTCAAGATCTAAGAAACAAGGAGAGACTGAGAAGCAACTAAAACAGCCTTGGGAGCCCTGATGACCAAATGTGTCCTGAATGGCATCCTGAATGGGTCAGAAAGTGAACTTTAGGAAAAAGCTAGTGAGAGTAGAATCAAGTGTGGACTTTAGTTATCAGTGTGTAGATAACCAGCATCCTGTATTAATATAAAATGTTGACAATAGGGGAACCTGGGAACGTGTGAGAGACAGTTAGTTACATGGTGCTCTGTACTCTCTGCTCAGTTCTTTAAATTCAAAGCTGTCCCTAAACAGTTGTCAGTAAAAGTCAGTTCTGTACATGATAGAGCCAGTATGCAGAAAGGAGGAAGCGTGTGTGTGCAGCCCACAGACACAGCCCCGTGGTGTTCTCAGAGTGCCGCCTAGGCCACGGGACACTGCTCCGTGAGGACATGCATGTGTGGACCCTGGGCTCCGCGGCAGGGCTGGACCTGCTTGTTTTAGTGTATGTGCCTGTTGTGTTTGTTGGTTTTTAATGAGCTGGAACTCAAAGAAGAGTTCTGTTTAAATGAGCAGCTCCTTTCTGAGGAGCTGGAATACCTGGATCCTTGCCATCATGTGCTTTTTTTTGTTTTTGAAGGTAGTAAAATACAACAGAACGAGACAGAATAAAGCCAACTGAGACAGTGTAGTGAAATTGGTACAGAACTTCACAGCAGGTTACCGGGATAACAGTAATAGGTATCACACTATCTCTCATTATCTTCACAATAGTTGTTCTTTCAATCACGTATATCAAAATAAAATGAAATACAGAATATTATAGAACTTACCAAAACAGTATTGAATACAGCAGTACCATTAATCAGAATAAAGCAAAACAGTAATAAAAATATTTGCCTTCAAAGAGATGGTAGAAGGAAATCCCCCTTTTTTGCTATGGTCAACCTCCCAAGAGATGCTCAGATCTCTTGTTCCCATTTGCAATCGGGGTCAAGGTAAGGAGAGTAGGGGAAGTGGGATGTTTGACTCTAGGCTGTGCACCAGTAGGCTCACTATTGCTTAGCAGGGAGGCAGGCTGGTTGCTTGGCTTCCCAGCGTCCTAAGATCCAACATGGCGTGGATCTCAGGAGACACTGGTGGTTCTCCCCCCGGAGGGGCTGCAGCCTGCCACACCACAGCCGCTCACCAGGGAGGGGAGCTGCTTGCTTGGTTTCCCAGCGTCCTAAGTTCCATGACGTGAATCTCAGGAACCGCTGGTGGTTCGTGGATCTCAGGAGATGCTGGTGGTGTTCCCCCCGGAGGGGCTGCAGCCGTCATGTGCTTTTTGATGGGTGTGGAATGGAGGACTCGGTGCTGGGCGGACTGTATGTGAGTGGCGTCGTGTTGCTGGCCTCATCTGGGAAGCTGGCTGCAGCCCCTCTTGTGCCTGCTCTGTGAAGACCTCCTGGGACCATGGAGCCTAGATCCTTCCCAACCTGCCCAAAGATAGGTGTCTTGTTTCAGCTAGTCACCCACATCCCGTAGAGCAACTTTTTCTGGAAGAACTGCACCTCAGTAAGTGCTTTTCTTTAGAACCATCAGCTTAACATGGCAGCGTTCTCTGACGCTGAACATGCTTTCCTCCTCTGGGGACAGACTGCAGGTTTATAATAGAGGAATCCTTCCTGACCAGTGGCCAGTCTGTTCCCTGCACACCATCTCCGCACTCCTGGTTAGCAGACATGGAGTGCTTATTCTGTGTAAAGAAAAATGGTCATAGAAGCAGATGGCACCACCTTCAAAAGTCAGAGTTGTGTCGTTCTACTAAGCATGCTACACCAAGATTAAGCAGGAAAGCGCAAGCTGCAGTTGTTTGCAGATTGGTGCAGGGCAGGCATTGTAGTTACTGTGCTGGCTTAAAACACCTGCTCTGAGCCCTCGCTCTGCAAGCCTGCAATGTGAGGAAGCTTCCTGAGCCCTGGAGTTGAGTTCTCTGCCTCACTCTTGCCTGTGACAAACCTCATAGGCTGCACTGGGCACTGAGGAGTGGAGCCGTGGAGCAGTGACACAGGGCTCATAGTAAAAGTACTACACAGAGGTTCTCTTCCCTCTGAGCTTTACTTTAAGAGTGCAGTGTAAAACTACTCAGCCAGGATAATAGGAACCTTGTAAAATTCGGGAAAATAGCCATAGGTATGCTCAGAAGCCTGCAGACCATGGCAAATGTCAGATCTCTGAGAAAAACTTCAGCCATACAGATGCAGGGTTCCTGACAAATCAGTCACCACAGATTACCCACAATGCTAAACTGCATTGTGACTGCAAAAGATTTTTGGTTTCTTGTGAAGTAGCAGTCCCATCATTGGAAGAATCTATTCAAGCTGCCATTGTTTCAGTGATGGTCCTGGGTCTGCAGACCTCTACAGACTGGCTTTGGGCTGACTTCGAGGTAGATCAGTGGCACTGAGGGGAAGCAGAGCGCCTTTGGGGGCTCTTTCACTGGACACATGGTCTGTGGTCTCCTTCAGCCTGGACCACAGCCTCCTGAGGAGCGGTTGCCTTTGGGTGACCCTGGCCACTGATGAGGGTTTTCAGGGTGGTTTGATTTTCCTCTTCTGTTTAAACAAACTTGGTTTTTCTGTGTTCTGCCAGGAGCACATGCTGACACATCAAGCTGGCCCCTCCTTAAGCTCTCAGAAGCCAAGAGTGTTCAAGTGTGATACTTGTGAAAAAGCATTTGCCAAACCGAGCCAGCTGGAGCGACACAGCCGCATCCACACGGGTAATAGGATATGATGTGCTTTTATTTCGTTGCTCTTTGAAGTGGACTTCGTTGGGACCATATAGGAATGAACATGTGAATACTCATATGCAGTAGAAGTATTGTTTTCAAAGCAGGGACCATGTGTTCCATGTTCCCTACTCTGTTCTTTAATATTGGGGCTTAAACTCAGGGCTTCATATTGAGCTACATTGCTAGCCCGTTTATTTTTTGAGATTTAAGTTGCTAAATTGAGACAGGAGGATCCCCTAATTTTGGATGAATTTATTATCTACTTTTTCAAGTAGAGATTTTGCTGTTTGCATTTTGTCTATGGGACTCAAACTCATCAGGGAAAGCCTCCCCAACCTCTGCCCTGCCTACTTTTCTCTCTCTTTAGTATCAGCAGACTTCTCTCCTTCTTGCTCTCCCATCACCACCTACATCTGCTCAAGCTGTGCCAAAGGGGAAAAACAACAGAGCAAGTCAACAAGCCCTCCTGACCTTTGGCCCTTCTGTCTACTCCGCTTCAACACTTATCTCTGATGAGCTCCCAAGACCTTGAGTCTAGCTGGCTGCTTCTACCAAGAGCTGTGCGTTGTTCTGTCCTTCTGCCCCATCTGCTGCAGGTGTCACTAAGACCTCTGCCTCCCCAGTCTCCGTTCAGAGGACAGCCAGACTGAGAGACCGTGTGAGGCAAATCTGAGCATATCATCCTCTTCAGGCTTTGTGGAGCTCAGTGTACTCACCCCACCAGGCCAACCTGAGCCATGTCTCTTCCTTAAGCTCTTGACTGATCCCTGCTGGGTTCCTGCCTCTTCAGGCAACATTTTCTCTGTCTGCAGTTGACCTCTTAGCCCTTCTTCCTGGGTCTTCTTAAGACTCAGCTTCAGGGTTAACTTGTGGATCTCTCTGTCCTCAGAAGATTTCTATAATTCCCAGTGTCGCAAGACTTCCGTGCACCCTCCTCATGTTGCGTTTCCTGACCTTCAGACTCTGGGCACATGGGGTCCAGGGGACTTGTTCAAGGCTATGGCCTTGACTGTTGGTTTAGATCCTGGTTCATGTGTAATTTCATAATGAATTTCTTAAAAAACAAAGAGAGATAAGCTACGCTTTGCTTTACAATAAAGCATGCATTGTGAAGGGGTTGGAAAGCATCACCCAACACAGGGTAGCGTGACCTTAGAGGTGAATAGTACCACAAATCCCTTTATAGCCAGAATGAAGAGCTTAGGAAATGATTGTGTCCTTCAGCCTTACCCAGAAATTGGCAGCTCAGTGTGAAATAAGAATGCCATATATTCCTATTTAGCTAGATTTGATACTACCATCAATCTCAAGGTCTGTCTGTGTTCTTTGTTGAATATTTCTGTCATGTATCTAAAACTTAGTGGTTTAATGATATGTGTCTCTGGCTTTGGTGTGCCTCTTTCCATTCCAGTTTCTTAAGTATTTATTGCTAATGAAACTGTGGACCATTAAATATTTAAATACTTTCATGTGATATTTTAAATGTATTTACATTTGTTTGAGGTTTTCCATTTTTTTCTTTGTAATTAAAATGATATGACAATAACCTCAGGCTTATCTTAATAGTTATGTGTATCATAAGAACTGCTGTTAAACTTGGAGCAGTATTTTAAAAGATGTTTCAATATGAAAACATTTCACTTGATAGCCTGCTTTTAATTAGTAAATATCTGACACCATCTAAATAGTCCTTGATGATAAGCATTTTGTCACATTCTCACTTTTGATTGAGGTACTAGCTGGGGACTTTGCTCCTCTGTGAGGTCATTGAGCCCCCTTCCCTCACAGTGGCCCTGGGAGCCTGGAAATGTGGCATCCAGCTGGTAAGCCAGCCCAGCGCTATTGCTCCTGTGGAGCACTGATCCTGCCCTCCTGCTGCCTAGCACTCAGACCAGCATCCTGGGCTGGAAGTAGGCTTCTCCCTGCAGCCTGTCTTGCTAATTTCCAAGTGACGTGGAAAGATTTTATAACTGTGTGTTATACTAAATTGGCTGAGGTATTAAAAGATCCAAAGGGTGGGAGTAGGATTAGTTTTCTCTTGTTCCATAAAAGATCCAGCTGCTTCAAACAGCCTCTTTGGCTATGTCACAGCATTTGGTCAGCAATGCAAGTGGGCGTAAGGGAATCTCACGGTCAGAAATGGGCTCAGCCCCTTGTGTGGATGCTCTGAGGAAGACTCACTTCCAGTTTCATCCGGGTCATTAGCAGAACCCGGCTCCATATGGTCATGGATTGCTCCTAGCCAAAGACACTACTTTTAAGGTCTGTGTTATCATATTGGCTCCTTGCTGATACTGCTTTTTACTCAGAGGCAACTGATAAATGACATTACACTATCTCCCTTTCTAACGAATACAGTCAGAGGCATGAAATCCTTGCATCCACATCCTTAGGAGCTACAGAAGACTTGGGGCCATCTTTCAGTGCTAGTCCACCTTAGGGTGCTAAGGTAGAGTTTCATAAGCATGGCCACTGAAGAGAAGGAGAAATAGACCAGGTATTATCACAGCTGTGAGACACAGAGCAGCGCCCTTCAGAACATAGTTTGAGCAGTGCTTTACCACATGAAGTGTTAGAAACATTTTTGTTGGGCTGGGGATTTAGCTCAGCGGCATAAGCCTTGCAAGCAGGCAGTCGTGAGTTTGATCCCTGGTACAATTAAAAAAAAAAAAGAAACATTTTTTTTTTTAAAAACCATTTCTGTTCTACTTTCATTTCTAGTTGTTTCTGTGTCTCTTAGTAACTTTTGATTGAAGTTTTATGTCTTAGTATGGAAGGGCTTTGCCAGCACCCTTTAGTTAGTAGTTGGAATAATAGCAGCGGGAAGGAAATGACTGTGGTCCTTCTAAGTGCACAGCTCTTCAGAATGAATGTTTTCCGCGTGTGCTGTCAAGTGTGATCTTGCTAGTGACCCTGACATGCTGCTTTTCACACACAGGGGAGCGACCATTCCATTGCACGCTCTGCGAGAAGGCCTTCAACCAGAAGAGTGCGCTGCAGGTGCATATGAAGAAGCACACCGGGGAGAGGCCCTATAAGTGTGACTACTGCGTCATGGGCTTCACGCAGAAGAGCAACATGAAGCTGCACATGAAACGAGCGCACAGCTTTGTGGGTGAGCGGCACACCGTTTGAGAGCCCAGAGACTCTTACCATCTCGCAGGTGTCACTTCCATCAGGTCACATGGTGGGCGTGTGTGTGGTGCAGTCTCAGTTCATGCGCAGAGGAAAGTCCGACGTGGAGAGGCCCTGAGTGGTAGTCAGGAGTGGACCACGCAGGGCGCCCATGTTTCTGTTGATTTGCTGTGAGTACGGGCCTGCACCACTGAATGTCTCAGGCAGTGACTGGCAGGTGGGTGACAGTAAGACTCTGTTACCTGGTACATTTAGGCATCTTAGCTCCTTGAAGCACACTGGCCACAACCCCACAATGACAGTAGTTCAGCGAGTGCTTTTCTCAGAACATGTCCTTGTCTTTGAGGTTTGACTGTGTATGCACTGCCCTCACGCATGTGTACACAACATTTGAGAAGATTAAATTTCTGGTTTATTTTGGCAAGATGACAGGAGTGTATTGGGCATCAGTGGCCCCTCAGAACCTCAGCACACTCACTTTCCTGTGTAGCTCATTTCTCACTGGAGCTTTCTGCAGTGAGCAGTCAGTGCCCAGGCAGCCCAAGCATCATTTCCATACCTATCTTGACACATCCTGGAGGCCCTTTCCCAGCAGGGTGTATAGGTCATGGGCTGTTGTAGTGCCCAGGCGTTAAGGCCAGCCTGGCATCAGCATGGAAGCAAGTGGGATCCGTGAAGATCAGGGCCGGGCTGGCATCTGTGTGGTCTGTGAGGTCTGCAGGCTCTGGGCAGGTGCTGCAGCCTGCATTCTGTCTCCTGAGCACAACTACCCATGGGCCCCCGCTTCTCTTGGTGACCACTCACACTGATGTCACTGGAACAGGGTTGCCAGGTGTCACTTGCTGTGTGTCTGTTGTGCTCCTCTTTGCTCCTCACTAATTGGGCTGCCCTGGCAGCAGGAGCCATGCAAAGGAGGGATGTGAGGTATTTTACCACAGTGGATAAAGCCCTGCTGTGATGAGCATTTTCACAGGGGTGTGTGTTTCAGTGTTATTTAGTTGTTTGAGGTGACGCGCTCTGTGAATGAAGTTAAGCCTTGGTGTATCCAGTGGGGTTACGTCTGAAAGGACACAACACTTTATATTGTGGGGAGTTTTTGTGGAAGGAAAGAAGGGTCATTTTTCTCCTTACCATGTGTCCTGTACGCAGCGGTAGCAGACTTACAGCAGGCTGTTTCTGTCATTGAAAGCTCTAAGGGGTTTGCCGTCCCTGGCATAGGGCTTCCTGTTTTCCTTTCTATTAGAAGAGCCGTAGCTGTTGGTGCTCATCATTGATTCCATATTTGCATAGCCACTGTGGTCTTGGCTGTCTCTGCCAAGCACTCTGTTTGCTACACTGACAGAAGGAGCCGTGTGTTTCCTCCTGGGATGGAAAGCAGATCAAGTTAGAGGTTTCTCATCTTTGTTTCCTGAAACAGGAAATACGAACGGGAAATCTTTCTGTTACTGAAGGTCTGAGGCCTGCTTTCTCTTTGCCACCTTGCAGGAACCTTGCAAGCCGCCACTGTTCCCCAGGAGCAGGATGGAGAGGAGCTGCGGACCTTGCACCTGGAGGAGGTGGTGCAGGAGGCTGCGGGCGAGTGGCAGACCCTCACCAATGTGTTCTGAGGCCGCGAAGGCCCTGCAAGTGCTGTGGAGCGGCGCTGGCGAAGAGCAGAGCACTCACAATTTCTGTTTTAAAGCTTGAAGTGTTAAAAATGTACCACAGGAGTTTTTAGCTGTAAAATTATCTAAAGAATCATTGTCTGTCAGAGACTATAGGAAAAAAATACTGGGAAAAATGTAACTGCATTGTTCTCATTTGTCTACAAATCACTGAACTCAGGTACTACGCTATTCAGTTTCATCTTTTCCATGGCCAGTAATCTAGTTAAAAGGAAATTACTTGGATCTTACTATTATTGTAGTGTGATTTCTTTGTATTAGCGAAGGCAAAAGTTAGTGTGGACAAAGTAAGATTTTCCCTCATGCTTTCTGTTATAAGAAGCATTGCTTCCAAAACAAACACAAGATAGGTGCATGAAGTTCACAAAAAATGTCATGACACAGGAAGTTTTTCCACTTTTTATTCCATGCATTTTGAAGATTAGTGGCCGTTGACTCTTTTTAACCTACCCTAAGTTAATATAAACTAATACCTTGAGAGGTGGCTGGACCAATTCTCTCTCGATCAGAAATCTAACCCCTGTTTAAAATGCAAGATCTGGGGTGCCAGCAGGGGGAATCAAGGAAACCCGGCCCCCAGGTGAGGACCAGCTGTCTGCACAGGATGGTGACACACGCGCTGCACGGGTCTGTGCTGTCCTGTGAATCAGGTCACTGCAGAAGCGCAAGCCGCACACGGCAAGGAGACCAGGGCAGAAGTGTCTCCTAGGAGCAGACGCTGTCCCTGTCCACCCTCAGTAAACACGGTGGCTTGTGTTGTGATGCTAAGAGCCTAGGAAAACCCCATGACTTCCTCTTCACGTGTAAAGAGATGTGTTTTTCATTTCAGGGAATTCTTTAGTGTCATCAGCGGTGCCACATTAGACTCGTCCCAAACCAAACCCCACCTGTGCGGGGCGGAGCGCACACGTTGTTCCTGCAGCATTCCAAAGACGGAAGGTTCTCGACTTCATGTTCATTTTCCTTTGAAATTATTTATATGTTCTATATATAAATACAGATGTACATAGACAAATATATGGGCCTCTGTGTGGCTGAGCAGTATATTTTGTAAATAGAAGCCCCAGTCCCCGTCGCAGAGACCGCGTCTGAGGCTCCTTCCCGGCGAGCACTGCAGATCCGTGTCGTGTTCCTTTTATTAATAAATGGATATCTTTTTCACTGTAACATAGAGCTGGGTTTTATTTTTTTTCTGAAAAATAATTGCCTTTATTTTCTCTCTTTGCTTTCTTGGTTTCAGAAGAGAGTAGTTTTATTATAAATATTGTATGGACTTTGTATATTAACAGAGAGGCTCATTTCAGATTCCTAGAGAAAGAGACATTTCACTGTTATTTTGAAAGAGCATCTTTTGATTTTGTTGTTCACCTTTGGCATTTGTATATAAATAACATTGGCAGTGACATAAAAACTTTTGTTATGTGAAAATATTTAATTCAGAAATATTACCTTCTTTTTCCAAACTACTTTGTGTATTGTATATTTTTTTAAGAAAAGAAAAGCCTTATTTGACTCCTTGTGATACTGGACTTATTATAAATCCTAATGCTCCCTGAATGTCAGTGTGTTCACCTGGCTATGGTAGTATTTTCAGAATAATTGTAATTGTGCAAGAGTTTTACAGGCTCTGCTTTGAATGCACTTTTTCTTTTATAGTTTTGTATTAAAAGATTTTAGAAATGTTAATTTTAGTGAACAGATATCCCCAATGTTGAAATTATTGGAATTTTAAATTTATGTTCTTGCTGGGTTATTTCTTTCACTTTTAACATTAAATGTCATCTCAGGACATCTCTAAAAAAGAGTGTTAAATGCTTAATTGTGTAAAGAACATAGTTTAGTGACTGTACTGGTTAATTGTTTAAGGCCTTAACAGGTGAACCCGAAGCCTACTTTTATTTTGCTTAGAGAAAAAAAAAATCTATCAGTAATCTATTTTGTGTCTTTTCTCAATTTATTAGCAGGCAAACACAAAACATTTGTGTGTTGTTTGAGTTTACTTCCTAATCATAAAAGCTGCTTCTTTGCAAAACATTCTTTGGAAACATAAGGTGTTTGAAACAACATCATTTCACTTGAATCTTTGTGGTTTACAAGGTTGATCTTTGTATTTTGCTAGTTGATTAAAAAGTTGTTTTAGGAAAGAAATTTCTAGCCTCATGCCTAACCAGGGTTTTGAGGGGAGAAAGTTTTATTTTTAAAACTGTCTCACCATAGCATATCTGCTTGGGAATAACTACTAGACATACGCTGGGCTTTTTTCCTTTAAAATATTTAAGATAAAATACTTAGATATGTGAATTCATTTCAAGTTTAGGTATTTTTAACAGCGAAGAATTGTAGTGACCTTTTCTTTTGCCTCTGTGAATTCCGGACAGAGAAGCTCCACCCTTGCAGTGCCTGTCTGGGGTGGGCGTCTCTGGAATGGGGCTGGCCCTTGACAGTGGGGTATGCACAGTGCCCTGGGCAAATGCCACCTTGTCCCCACTCATCCTCAGCGGCTGCCACACTGAGGTTTTCTGTTAGAAAGTTCTTAACTGTCTTTAACCCAGGTTCATGATGGAGAAACTCTTTGGTATTTAAATAAATTGAAACCAGAAATTATCTTTCCAAAGATGCCGACTATGAAATCGAAGATGGTGTAGCAGGTGACATCTATTGAGTAAAATATATAGAAGGACATTAGATTAAAATAGAAACACATGGCCAGGCATGTTAGCAAGGGCCTGTAATCCCAGCACTTTAGAAGCTGAGGCAGGAGGATCATATGGATTCAAGGCCAGCCTGGACTACCTAGTGAGTTGAGGCCCAGAATGCATAGTGAGACCCTATCTCAAAAATCCATAATTAATAAAATCAAAACATGCTTTCAAAGAAATAAACTCATCAAAAAATGCTTCCCAGGGCCAGCGAGCTCCATGTGAGCCCCTCTCTGTGTGGGAGGTACTGAGACTTGTGTGTAGAAACTCTCAGGTGGTGAGTGCTCACCAGAAAGCAATCTGTGCCTTTCTACCGCGCCACTGCCGTGGGCTGCACAGCTGTGTAGGCAGCTGTTTCCACAGAGGGCAGTGCTCGCTCGGGAATGTGAGGCCAACATGTCCTTCTGTGCTCCTTCCTTCGTTGTCGCTTGTGAAGAAACGTTGCATTTTAAAATTACAGTGGAGTGTGGTGTTGCAGGCCTGTGGTCCCAGAATTCTGGGAGCCTGAGGCTGTAGGGTTGCCAGGTTGAGCCTCACTTGGGCAAGTTAGTGACTCAGTGAGATCCAGTCTCCAAGCAAGAGCAGAGGTCCCAAATTCTGTCCCCAGGACTGCAGGCGAGGAGACACTGGCTGGTGTTCTGAACTTCTCTGAGCTTTCACATGCGTATGTGTGAGATCGTGTGTCAGTGCAAGCACAGATGTTAAAAAGTAGGTTTCCATTCTTTCTGTGTGGGTTCTCCTCTTTCATAACTTGTTACAGTTCACCTTTTAAGGTTAAAGAACCATCACAGAGACTTAGGCAACATTTTATAAGGAAGTACCTAATATACAGAAGAACTGCGTTCTGGTTCCTATTTATAGGAATATTTCACACCTTGCTTCTTTAACTTTGTTTTTCCTAAAACTTATTTTATAGTCCATATCCTGCCCTTCCCCTCATCAAAAGAGTTAATCCCAGAGCTGATCATGGATATCTTCTTTTCCTAAGCCTGTTGCATCCTGAATTTGGCAGAGAGGAGATTATACAACCATACTTCTGAATTTAGGATTCACTTTTTACATTTAATTTGTATTCATGTTATGTAGGTGTTTTGGAATTTTTAGAATGAAATTTCAAAAGAACCTAAATACATAATCCAGTGTCGTGTCTTGTATCTGTTTGTGGCACCTGTATTTTAACCTTATTCTAATGCAAAGTATAATTTTGAAGTCCAGTTGCATATTATTTGTTTTCTAATAATTGAAGCAGCAGACCTTTTGTAAGGTCAGAAACCCTGCACATCCCTCACAGTGCCGCGTTCTGCGTCTTTATGAAGCCCGTGAACCATGGGTCAGAGCCTGCTATCGCTTATCCTCTCTGAATGTATTGCCTTTCCCCACACACACCGTGCACAAGTGAGCACATGAATTTATTCCATATCATACCTACCACCAGCCCAGAGGCCCCATGATAGTTTCTTATATGGATGACTAGTAAATACTTAAAGCACTAAAAAAATAATAATAATAATAATTCATTAGGATATACGTCAGGAGCTAGACAGTAATCCTAAAAGATTTTGCTGTTTAATCTTTTTCTATATGTAGCACTACAGCATGAAGACTTTTGTACTGAGTCAAGATTTGTATATTTGACAAGTTCTAAAATGCCATAGTGATTGTACTTGAGTCACTACTGAAAAAATGTAAAGTTAATTTTTTTAATTTACAGAAGAGTTCTCTTCAGAATTGTCACATGCTCTATTTATACATTGGATGATATTTATTTAATCCAATTTTGTATTAGAAATGGATAGCTATGCCAGAAGCCACTGTGCTGGCTTTTAAAAATAATAAAAATAGTTTTTCTACTATTTTAAAACTCTTGTATATTATTGGGGCTTGGGGTGACTGAACCACTGGCAGGTCCTTTTCTCTGGCTAATGCATCTGCTAAGGCTCAGCGCCGCCTGCCAGCTCGGAGTCTGTAGCAAATCAGACCCAGGTTGCAGGGGAACATGCCTCCTCCTGGGGAGACGCGGCCTTCTGTGTTGTCTGAGGAGACTTAGAGTGACTTGTGAAGATGACGCCTGCTGGCATTTTGCTTGTTATGACATATGTAGGATATGGGGCTTTCCCAAAAATACCAGGAGTTAGCTTAAGGCCTCTAGCTGTTTAGAAATATATGTGAGTATATTTTACTGTGTATCACATTTCCAGACCGACTGGTAGGGATTTTAGTTTATGCCCATTCTTCTGTTTGGGTAATGAGTTAAGGACATGTTTTAGCTCACCCACTTGTTACAGGGTAGGGATGGAAATGCTGTGGTCTCCACCTCCATCCATGAGGAGGCCTGTTGGTAGGAAGCTTCTCACTCTAAAGCTTTTGAGATGTTGGTAGGGGAACGATGCGTATTTTACCTGGCAGACTGTAAAAAACTGTTCCGAGTACTCTGGGTTGTCCTGTTTTGAATGGGTTTTCAGGATGAGCTTTTCCAGAGTTCTTGATTCTTCGAAAGAATCAAGTGTTCTTGTTAAAACCCAGCCAAAGACTTGCGCTCAGAAAGCCCCATGCTCCACTCCCTGTGATGTGAGCTGTTGGCCTGGCCCCCTGGGCTGCCTGCCCAATGGCCAGGCTGTTGGTTCTCAGTAAAGTCAGTGCACCACTTGGCTCACCTCCTGTCTACCTTCCATTCCTGAGCGAAGGTCTGTGAGGTCTGGGGGGCAGCTCTTCACTGGCCTCTCCTTTGCTGCATAACTCGAGGCGCTCTCCTAAGCTGTTTGTGGGGGCGCAGCCTCAGAGGACAGAGGTGGCACAAGAACGCTTGTTTCCTGACCCTGGTGAGTGAGACGGTGTCGCTGTAAGGCAAAACTGGCTCCAGGAGAGGAAGGATCCGGGTCCCCGCCCCGAGTTTCTGTGCTGTAATACAGTATTGGTGTGCACCCCTCCTGCTTGTGTGTCGTGCCTTGCAAATTGGGGCTGGGCTCTGCCAAAAATGTCAGTGCTGTGGTCCTAGTCTTACTAAGGATGGTAGTTTCTCTGGCTCTGACCCCAGGTGGGCCATGTCCTCTGCAGGACGCAGGGAAAGCCAGTCAGCTTCTTGGGGTGGGAAAAGTAACATCGGAAGCACTTAGGCTTACCAACAGGAGATGGTGACTCCAGGGCCTGGAGATGTCCTCAGCTTAGTCACTGTGTGAGCAGACATTTACTCCGTCCCATTTGTAGTGTCCTTCTGTCACTGGGAGCTTCCCTGTTAACTGGAACCTCCATTAGATCCTAGTCCCGAAGAAAAGCACACCCCCACCTCTACTACCCGACACTCTCCTTTCTGCCAATAAACACGTTGCCCTGTGTTTGTTCTGCTTTGTGCCATTGTCATACAAACCTGAACAGAGCAAGCCTTGGTTCTTCTGGTAATCAGTTTCCGGCCCTTAACATAATGCAGCTCTGTTGGTGTTTTTTTGGCTGACATTCTTGTGAGGAGATGGACTGTAGTCGTCTGCTTCAAGATACTCTGTCTATGTTTCTAAGTTCCTTCTAGCCATCGTCCTCAGGGTTAATAATCCAAAATCTTCATTTATTGTATTACCTTTTTAGAATTATTTACTTATTCATTGAGCAATACTGGGAATTGAATTTAAGGCCTTTGCACTGAGCTCCACCCTCAGTCATTATTATTATTATTACTGTTATTTTTATTTTGAGACAGGAAAGGTCTCACTAAATCATATCATTGCCCAGGCTGGCCCTTAAAGTCTTGATCTGCCTCTGAATGTTGTGATTGTAAGCTTGGGCCATCATGGCCAGCCATAGTTTTTGAAGCAGCCTCAAAGTTACAGAAAAGTTGAAAGAATAATACAAAGACTTTCTATATACAGTCACAGGTATTTGTCTGTGGATTCCACATGCTCAGGTTCAACCAGCCGTGGATTGAAAATATTCAAGAAAAATATGACATCTGTACTGAACAGCTAGAGCCTCCTCTGAATGATAGAGCATAGCGGCTGTTCACGTAGCATCCACAGCGCCGTGGCTATCGCAAGTAACTGAGAGGTGACTTAGGCTATATGGGAGAATGTGCACAAGTCACAGGCAAACAGGACACTAGTTTTTGTAAGGAAATTGAGCATCTGTGGGTTTGGTGTCTTTGGAGACATAGAAACAGTGCCATGTGGACACTGAAAGACTGTCCTTGTCACCTCAGTCCCCCTTCAGACACTGCCAGGGGTCTGAGCAGGAATGTTTTCCTGGCATATTCATGCTGCCCGGGGGCCTGCACTGTACCCAGCTGTGGCATCCTGGATCCATTGGGTCTTCTGCCCTTGCCCTTTGGCTCACGCTGCCTTGGTACTTCTGAAAGGCTCAGACGCAGCCCCGAGCAGGTGGTTCATCCTGTGCTCTGTGGCTGGGACAGGCCGTGGGCCTTTGAGCAGCACCAACGCCCTGTGCCAGCTGCGCTTACTGAGGAACAGCAGGGTGTCCGTCCCAGGTGTGGTGCCGGAATGTCAATCACTTGGTTGGGGCATGCCACATTCCCTCCCTGCGGCCACTTCCTTTTGTGACCAGAAACTATTTAGTGAGATGCTCTGGGACCGTGCACGTGTGCGGCTCACCCCGTCCTCACCCAGTGCTGCGCCTGGGCCTTTCCCAGTCAGGATCCAAGGGCTGCCAGCCATTCTCCAGCTGTATCACCCTTCCACTTATTAGGAGGCAGTCTCCTTTAAAGAAAGGGCCCCTCCTTGTTTATCCTTCTATTAGCATTGGTTTAGGGTCATGGCCCCTATTTTATCCAACTGGTTACAATCATTAGAGTATTTACTTTGATGGTCAGTATTAGGTTTGGCCAATAGGAGCTACTTTAGGTCTGTTTTTTAGTCCTTTTGATATGGCCCCATGATTTCTGGAGCCCTTTTTACTCATTTTCTGCCATTGTAAATTGTCCTGGGATCAGCTCTTCCTTCAAGGAGCCCTGGTCTCTCTAGTGGAGTTTGGTATTTACAAACAAAAGACTGAGTAGTGGTATAGTCACTACCACCTAACAAGCAGGCAGAGCTGGGGAATATTGTGTGCGTGTGCGTGTGTGTGTGTGTGTGTGTGTGTGTATGCGTGCGCGCATGCGTGTGCACATACGTGCCCCCACTGTCTGCACATCTTTGCAGCACCTGTTTTTCTGTGTTCATCGTGGTTCACACACACAGCTCAGACACCCCAATTCATGTAGCTTCTCTCTGTGTCTGCCTTCCCTGTTCAACAGGGAGGCTCCTGCTGCCACCACCATCTCTCTGCATATGTTTAACTGCATTTCTTGGCCCACAGTATGTGCTCTTACAATATCAACCTACTACTTTTTATTTTAAGTGAAAAAGATGTATCAGGAGCATAGCTCGGTGGCACAGTGCCTGCCTGGCAAGTGAGAGTTAATGAGTTCGATCCTCAGTACCAAAAAGAAGAAGAAGAGGAGGAAGAGGAAGAAGAAGAGGAGGGGGAGAAAGGGGAAGAAGAGGAGGAGGAGGAAGAGGAAGAGGAGGAAGAGGAGGAGGAGGAGGAAGGGGAGGAGGAAGAGATGAAGAAGAAGAAGAAGAAGAAGAAGAAGAAGAAGAAGAAGAAGAAGAAGAAGCTCTTGCCCTATTTTTAAAGAACATTTTATGCTTTAGAAAGAACAAGACTGTGCTATTGTAGTACAGAAACTATTGTCAGTGAATCCTGTGTGACCGATGCTTGTCACAAAAGTACTTAGGAATGTTAGATCTATTGCTTTTCTCTAATAAAGTTTCTTAGTCTTCCCAAAAAGTAAAAGGAGAACAGTGGGGGTGAATTGTGTCCCCTAAATTTATGTTCTGCAACTCCTAAACTGACTGTATTTAGAGTCAGGGATGCTAGGAAGATCATTCAGATGAAGCAAATTCATGGGGCAGGGCCCTGATCATCAAGACGCATCATGTGAAGAAGAGACACGGCAGCTCCTCTCTTGGCCGTGTGAGGACATGGTGAAGGTGCGCAGTGCACGGACAGGTCTTGTGGGAGGCCAGCTCTGTGTTCCCTTGACCTGGAGGTCTGGCCTTGGAACTCTGGGAAGATAAAGCTGCTTGCTTTACGGCTGTTTGCAGTGTTTGGCAGCCCTGGAAGACTGACTCAACACCGAAACTCAGTGAACGGCTTAGCTCTACTTGTTGTGTCTCTGAGAGACATTTCCAGTTCCAGTGAGCTCTTTGTGGCTTCCCAAGTCACTGCACTGTGCAGTAACGCGTCTGCCTCCCACCATCTGTGCTCAGCTCTTCCACCATCCTGTCTGGCACATCCTCTCCCCTCTGCTTGGAGTCGTGCCTGGAGCCTCATGGCCCAGTCCACTGCCCACATCCAGCCTGTCCAGCAGGGCACTGGCACCCACCCTCCTCGCTCTGGGTCGAGTGGCACGAACAGAGGTGCAAGTTGACTGGAAGCACGACACCACAGCAGCTGGGAATTGGCACCCTGAGCTCGGGAGCCCTCACATACTCCTGGACTACCCACAACAGTGCTCAAGGCCCGCATTAAGAGGGGCTGCACCTGTGGGATTCCAGCAGTCTCTGTCATAAAGCTTTTCAGTCAGCTTGAAGGGGAGCTATGAACCCTCTCTAGATGTGTGTTCAGTGAGACCATAGCTCAGGCTTGCTTCCTGTTTTGCTTTGTAAAATTTAAAGTATATATTTCTGACTATTTCATTATCATGGTAAGTGCTACATTAAAATATGCCCTTGATTTACAATTTAATGCACTTCTTACATGTGTAAGATGAAATTAGACTTGTCAACTGAAAGAACAGTTTTAAAATGTGGTTATCTTTGCACAATTTCCTGAATCCCTTCCTTGGAGCAGTTTGGTAGACGGGAAGGAGGAGGAAGGGGAGGGCCCTGAGTTCGGAGTCAGTCACCTCTGGCTTGCGGTGTGAAGTGGCACAGTCCCCCACATGGGTGCATTCAGAGCCCCTGTGTTCTCTGCACTTGGGTTATGGTGCCAAAGTTGGGGTCAGTGTGCCCCAAAAAAGGAGCTCCTGCAATCCCAGTTATTCTAGAGCAGGCCTCACAAGTGAGGACAGTTTCTCAGCAGCTACCGACAATAGAACCAGTGGTTCTGTTACAAGCAACATAAAATGTAAGAGAACTTCTCAGTTTATCTGTTTGACAAAAAAGTTCTGTAGCCAAAGACAGCCATAAGCAAAAGAAAAAGAACTTGCTGCTCTCAGTGGCTCTGCCGGAGAAAGTCTCAGGGAGCCTCAGTTCACATTAACCATGTGTTTACCCTGACAAAATAGCAAATGCAAAGACAGAAACTTGTCTTCGGCTGGAGCGTAGCTCTGGGATCGAGCACTTGCCTAGCACTCATGACTCCCTGGGTAAAAAGAAGCTTGTCTTCAGATTCATAGAAAGTTCTTTTCCTTCCAAGCTGGCTGGTCAGTGCCTTGACGGTCACCTCACTCTACTCATGTATTCCTGAGTAACCCTCTGGTGACAGTGCCCCTCCGGAGCTCTGGATGCGTGACCACAGGACGCACATTAACCTTGGCTCCTGAGACATGGCTAGCACCTGACATGATCATGTTCTACAAATGAAAACACAAAATGAGACACCCAGGCAGAGAGCATTACAAGTTTATTACTTTATTTTGATATCCAAGAGCAGTATGTGGTCCCGTGGGCCCATTCCGCAGCCCCTGCTGCTTGGACACAGCCACAGGTGAGTTCACTCAGCCGACTCAGCACAGAGGGGGCGAGTGCTCATTTGAAAATTTGGAGGGTTTCCAGAATTTTGTTCCCTTCTTCTAATGTATTAATAGGTATTACTTTAAACCCACACTAAACATTTGGAATTAGAATGGGATTAAGAAGTTGCATTCTGGCGCTGTGTAGACTATTTACTCCTCATCTTCATTCTCTGAGAGAATGATGCCAGTGTGGGCGTCTCTGGCAGTTTCTGAACACGAACTAAACCAAAAGGCAAGTGTCAGTGGGTTAGTGAGAGACACGAGGAGGCAGCAGAAGTTAGAAGTTCAATTCAGAGGCTTCTTGCAGCCCTGCGTCTTTGTTAGTGATTCGAGGAGGGGTGTTCTCCAAGGTCATTCACTAAGGAAGGTCGTTTGTAGGACAGGACATTATCTTTTTACTGCTTGTTAGTGTATGCCGATGAACACTGCCATTGTGAGCTACGGATGGTGGTCACACCCAACGCCAAGACGTGACCAGATGACACCATGAGGACATCCAGAGGACTCCTGCAGTCCCATTCTGAGATGTGCCATCTCCCTGGACTCGCCGCCTGGACTCTGGTGGGGAAACGGAAATCTTGAGAGTGGCTGTTCAGGTGGCCGCTGTGCAGGGTGACAGTGCCATCCGGAAGCCACACACGCGACATCTTTAGCATCTAATCTCCCACAGTTCCCGTTCCCCTTTGGGGGCCATCGCCCAGCCCATTTGCCTCCTTTCCCTCCCTCTGCCACGCTCGAATTCAGCTGGTGGGGCGTGGGGGCAGCCAGCCTGCAGCCCCCTCTGCGCTGCCCCACACTGGACTCTCACAGCTGCCCAGCCCGCGTCCACATACCGAAAGCTCCCTCATGTCGAAGCCACTCCCTGACTGTCTAATCCTGTTAGGAAAAATAAAATGTACTCTAAGAGGTGAGAGAATGGCAGGGAAAGAAAACAAAGAAGCCTGGATCATAACAGTCGCCCCGCGTCCGTGTCCTCTGGTTCCATGGCGGTGTGTCTCAATGGCAGTGTCGGCAAAGCTTGAGGGGTGCCCGCGAGGCACAAAACAAGTCCAAGGATGGGGTGGGGAGCCGGGAGGGGCATCTGTGCACTGGGACCTGCGAAGTGGAGTGACGCGCGTGGGGCACGGTGCAGGGCGGGCCCCGAGAAGCCTCCATCTCCACCAGAATGAAACAGTCTCACCAGGTTTGTTTTCCTCTTCTCTATTGAACTTTCGGCTAAAAATTTCCAGTAAGCTGCTATGTGCCTGGCCCACTGTGTGCACAACTCAACGTGATTAGGTGACAGGTCATCTGCGCTAACTAGCTAATCAAACGGAATTAAAGTTTAAGGCAGTTATATTAAGAAGCTGAGGACAGGATCTGGAGGGACCGGGAAGGGGTTCAGCGTCTTGCCATGGGAGATCCCGAGCGGCTGTCTCTTCCTCCCTAGGAAAAGGGAGAGACAGAGTTAGGTGAGAGCTGCTGTGGCCTGTTCCCTCTGAGTGTCCTTCTGCCCACCAACATGCCCGTCTGTGGTCACCTGACCTCAAGCCCTTGGGACTCTCATTTGCACCCTGCATCACACAGAGCGATCTCTCCCCACCCCCACACTCCCCTGTAGCAAGTGCTGGCTGTGCCTGCTGTGATGACACTGCCCTTCTGTGGGTGAACGCTAGCTGGACCACTGTGCTTTGAAGGAGCACTGTATTTCTCCAGCTAGAAAGCCCAAGGGAACTGAGGGATGCTGTGAACACACACAGGAATGGTGGCATTTGCGGGGAGATTTAGTGTGATGACACACCAACTGCTTATGGGGGCAGAAAAAAAACCAGTGAGGCCATGGTTTTCCTGGCCTTCTTGTCCCTGACCTGTTTCCCCACACACTGAGACAAGTCAGTAGGACAGGACATCCACCGGTGACCAAGAGGGCCTGAGAACCACACAGTGACGTGGACTTTTGGACGATCACAGATTGAAAGTAGAAAGAGCAGGCGATCAGATGGAGTGGGAGCTCAGGTGGGCGGCAGCGGGAGGGACCCGGCGCAGGGCCTGGGTGGGAGGAGCTGTGCACTGCGCTCAGCACCACTCAGACTGGCCTGTGGGAGCTGTGCTGTGTTCTGGCTGGCTTTCTTTGCTTCCTTCCTTCCTTTCATATTCAAACTTTTTTCTCTTTTTCTTTGGCTTTTCCTTTCTTATTTCAACTGACCTATCAAAGATTTAATCTGGATAGCGAGCACCCAAGATGCAGTGGACACCAGAAATGTGCTGGGCATAGCGTCCACTGTGGTCACCCTGCCTACCTGCTTCTGTGCAGTCCAGGTAACTCGTCATGCAGGCTGAGGCCAGTTAGCAGTGAGCAGGTTTATATGTGGGCCCTCGCTCACTGGGCTTTACCCCTCCCCAGACTACACCGGGCATGCCAAAAGAGCATCTGTGTTGATTATTCATCTAAGAAAAGTCATTTTCATAGCTGAGAATTCTGTAGAAGTCAGCCTTTGAACAACCGAAGCAATCATCTAGTGACCCTCCCCCTCTCCAGGAAAGCCGTTTTCCCAGAGACAGCCACTCTGTGTGGCCAGAGACTGGGGAGCAGGGCCTTTGTCCCCCTGAGGCAGATGGATGCTGGTGAGCCTCTGCCCACACCCTAAGGGCTGGCCTATACCCTCTCCAGAAGGAGCCTGATTCTCACAATACTGCTGAAGAAAACAAGCCCAGCCGCGCTGAAAGGAGGAGGTTCCCAGCATGCAGTAAGGCGGGTAGGTACTATTTCACTCCTTGACACTTCTTTGTGGAAGGAAATGCTCGACACAGGATGTTACTTTCCATCTTTGTTCCCATAGTTTACTGGGAACCAACTAGGAGCAAAACCTAACTCACCTGTCATCTCCTGTGTACTCACAGCCACCCTTGAGCATAAGCTCTTATGCTCATTTTATAGTTGAGGAGTCAGAATGTCAGGTGTTTGAGTCATTTTCCCAAAGTCAACCAGCAGGCAAAAGAAGCAGGAGGGGAAGTAACAGAACGGTCACTTCTGTCTCTTTTTTCTCTATGTGCTTTGTGCCAGCTGACCTGGGCTTGTGAGCCCTAGGGACGGGCAAGGCTGGGCTCAGCCTGCAAACCTTGCTCCTGAAGGCAGAAAGCAAACAGGTCCCACTGAAAGCGTGCACCCACAACTTTTCCCAGGTGACCCCCACAACTGGCAGAACATTCGAGGAGGCAAATGTTCCCTTGGGAATAAAACGTGGTTCCCAAGTGACAGAAGGACCTGACGGTTCTGTCAACCCCAATCCTGATGGCAACACTGGAGGCCAAATCAGAGCCCCTGCCTGGCTGCCCACTTCTAGGAGCATAAAGGAGACCCCAAAGCAGCAGGGGGCCAAGTGACAACAAGTGCCACAGAGTTCCTGCCATCAACACTGCCGGCCCCAAACCCTGCTCGTCTCTGGGGAGATGTTTAAAATTAACTTACTGGCCTTGTCAATGCGTCCAGCCATTTGGTCACAGAAGGCTAGCTATGCACGTGGGCTTCTTGTGTAGTAAAATTAATTATAACTATAAGCATTAAAATTTATTTATATTTGCTAGTTTCCCTTGAACTACACAGAAAAATTTTAAAAATTTATGAATCTTACGGAAAAAACTTCAGAGGAAATTGTGAGCTGCATACAATGATGCTGCCTGCAGAGGACAAATGTGTGGCTCTCGGCACAGCTGTCCTATTCTGTGGACTCCCAAGCGTCTGGCAGGACTGGCGCACAGCTCTTACACATATCACCAAGGACCACATCTTCCAGGCAGAGCCTCCATCCCCTGAACCATCGTCCACTCGGCAGATCTAACACTTGCTGAGTAGCAGGGCAGGGATGAGCAGGGAGACGGGCCGGGCCAGCCTGGGAACCAGGGACAGGTGCAGCCTCTGGGCTCTCAGGCATAGATGTGGTGGCCTGGGGCACACAGGTGGGGGTTGGGGTCGGGTGCCCAGGTGGTTCAGGGCAGGTGATCTCTTGGCCAGCACTGAGGTCACTGAGAGGCACTTCTGTTCTATATCCACGTCTGAGACTGTGTATCAGGAAGTCCTCTTGCTTGCGTATTTGGGTTGACTTTATTTTCCTACCTGAACTGCCTGAGGGTATACCTGGAGTTGTGAATCCTACACTTTCCCTGACCTAAAGGAGGCAGGGGGCTCAGTTCCTTCTCATGCGCACATTTTAGGCTCTTCCTGACTGACTTTCTCTGGAAGCAGGGCCATGCTGCAGATCACCTGTGCATGGTCCGTGGTGCCTCTCAGGGCCAGGCTGAGACACAGACACACACACCACCAAGGACCCATCCCAGCTCCCAGGCAGGGAGCAGCTCCCACATGCACAGCCTGTGGGACTAGAGATCAGGTGGCCAAACTCAACAGTAAGGCCAACAGCAGGCCATGTGCCCACACTGTAAACCCTGATGTCCGGATCAGCAGTTAGGACAGCATAAGAAAGGAAGTCAGAGGCTGCCCACCAGTGATGACCTGAGGGAGGAACTGTCCACACCTCCACCTCCAGGACACCCAGGGGCTCAGTGTCACGGACAAGGGAAGAGTGCAGGCTCTGCCTTCAAGCTGATAAATCTCAGGGCGGCATGACCAACACACATACATCAGAGCCCTTTTGGGTCAAACAGAGCCACCCGCAGGAGCAGCAGACGTTCCTAGAGCAGGCCAGGCAACCCTGGGCTCCTTCCTCGCCAGTCTGACACCTGAGACCCAAAGCTGTGGAAACTCAGCTGCCCAGACAGCGGCCGCTCCTCGAGGACACAGCGTGGTGACGCTGTATGTGGAGTGTGGGTGAGGAGTGTGCGCGCTGCCGTGCGGGAGCAAGGACTTGCTCACGTCTCTGCCATCTTCACAGCCCTGTCCCTCTTCCACTCGCAGAGACTCACACAGGAATGCCACCATGTCCCCATGACAGGCAATGAGAGATCTTTCAAGATTGACCTTGTCTTGGCTGTACTGTGGCATCATGGATTTATGCTTCACTATCATAGCTGACCAGCTCGGACTGGCCAGCATCTGTCTTCCTCCTGTGTGTCTTTGAATCGAGGAGGAATCTGGCTCTGAGAGCCTCCTAAGTGATTATGGTAGTGATTGTTTCATACCAGCAGCTGCCCTGCTCTGTTCACGAGGACACAAAAATGGCAGCTTGGCTGTCATAACAGCAGGTCAGGCAGGGACGTCCACTCAAACTGGCCATTCGGTGACAGCAGCTGCCATCAGTGCTGGGATGGGAGGATGGAAGGATCTCCCTCAGGGCCCTAAACCAGGGTGGGCAGCTGTCTGCTGTGAGAGGCGGCGATTTATCTCACTCAGCACCCTGAAAAGTGCATGTGTCCACCGCCAAACCCCATAGTGCAGAGCTGTGTGAATCCCAAGGCCTCTTCCTTCACATCCAGCCCAGAGAATCCCAGATCCAGTCACCACTTTCCCTAGTCCCTGCCAGAGACACACGATTGGGACTTCAACGTTAACACGCAGGTCACACCTGTCATTTGGCCCCTGCAACCACTTGATGCCAGATTCAGGGACTGAGTCCAGATTGGACTTCCCAGGTCACTGTCCCCTCCCAGTCTAGCTTGTCACCACTCCTCCTCCTCCTATTCTGCTCCTTCTGCCCAGAACACTTTTTTTTACCTGTGCCAGGTTGACTCCTCCTGTCCTTCAAGTCTTTGCAAAGCGTCACCTGCTGTTCAGGCTACTCCGTCTGGTGTTGTCACCACTGTGCATGACAATTCCTCATACCCTTTTCTCCCACAGAGTTGGGCTCACTTGGTACGCCTTGCCCTTCTAGAATCCAAGCCCTGCTGCAGGGTGTCCCTTCTGTCTGTGCTGCCCTCTCGGGTGTCTGGGTACCCAACCATGCAGTGCGTGGTTTGAGACCATCCCCTGCTCGCCAGGTGCATGCCCAGCCAGAACTGCATCCCTATGCCAGGTGGGGCTGCTCCTGGCCAGTATGCACCCACTCTCCTGGTCGCAGAGGTCACATGGACCCCTCCAGAGACCCCTTCTTCTGGACCACCTTAAGAGGTCCCTTTCTCCAGGCTTGATGCCTCTGGTCTGAGCAGCTGAGACAGTGTTTACAAAAACACTCTTAAGTGCAGACCTGTGACCTTCCTGTGTCAGCAGCCCAGGAGACTCTTGCCTGGACATTCCTGTCACCTCCGCAGCCATGAAAGGTCTCAAATGAGCAGCAGCAAGGCGGGCCCTCTATACAAGGAGTAACTTAGAATTAAACTATGGGCAACGTGGACAGACAGTGAGGCCCTCTGTCAGTACAGGGTCTGGATGTGGCCGGGCCAAGGCCCTGACGGTGTCTGTGGAAGGTGAGCGGAGACTGAACCCGGTATTGGTAGGCCAGGTCTCACTGCTGCCCTGACCCCAGCTTCTCAGAGTTGGGGGACTTTGGCCTTGCCCAAGGGATACTGGAGAGCCCTGTCCTAAGAGGGCAGCCCCTGTCCTGGTTCCAGTACGTTAGCCCCAGGGACATGGAGTTCCTTCTATGCAGAAGGCAGATTTCCTTCTGGGGAGCTTAGGGTTGGGCTCAGAATAAAAGCTGGGTGGAGATGTCCCTCAGCCTCAGACTCCCTGGGGAAGAGGCTCATGAGACAAAGAAAAGTGGGGCGCAGAGTACTCCCCTGAGCTCCAGATGCCCTTTGGGCTCATGCTGAGGCTCCTGTGCCCTGTCCTGGATGGGGCCATGCCCACTGCACTGCCATGTCACTGCATTCTGCTTCACAATGATTTTGTACGGTAAGCTGATATATCTACTCTGTGGATGAAGAAACTGAGTCTCAGAGATCTCAGGGACTGGGGCCACTGGCGAATGATCCCTGGGTGTGGTCACAGGATCTGTGGAGCCTATGGGCCCCCACTTCCTGGGCTCCCTGACTTCCACACCAGTGACTTCAGGGCTCTCTTCTCCTCTGTGTGTGCCTGACTCCGACTCCTGCTCCTCTCTTCAGGGGCCTGCTCGGGGGTGAAGATCAGCCCCCCACCTGACATCCAGGTCCAGGGGGCTGGAACGCGCTGCGTGTTACACTCACAGCACCCCTCACGGACAGGTGATGCAAAGGGAGCCACGTGGCTCCCTTCTGAAATACTGACAAAGGGAAAAACATGTGAGCATGCTAGACTGACTACATAATGAAACAGGCACTCACTAAGTGACCAGAGAGGCCACGGAGGCTCAGAAAACATGCCAAACACAAGCATGCAGCACACTCTCTCCAGCAAGAAGAAAGAAACAGAGTGACTACAGCAGCCGAGAGAGACACATGCCCAAACCGAAGCACAAAGAGACCCGAAGACACGAAAACTACAGCGGCACGTGTGAGAGGAGACGGCGTGACCGGAGAGAAAGGCAGTCAACATGCAAAACAGCATTTGGGAAGAGCTACGGCTGCTGCGGAATCTGGAGGCGAGATCCAAGCCAAGACCCAGCAGGGGGATACAACAAGCATAACAGGCTGTACATCAAAAGGAGACCCCGTGGTGCCCCGATGGCGGAGACGACTGAGCACCACGTGGCAGGACGAAGGACGAACTCAAGGCTGCGTCAACGTGGATGGAGGGACAAAAACCAGAAAGCAGCAGGCATGAGAGGAGAGTAGGTGCTGAGGAGACAAACGCCGGGGAGAAACAAAACCGGCCCTGAACGTGAAGGGTGAAGTTAGGACAACCCAAAAATACACAGCCAAAAACATGCAAAAAGGGTTCTGCCATCACTGCATCACTGGGGGACTGCAACTACAAGCCAAAGTCAGGTGACGGCAACAGACAGAGACAAAACAAACACACCACGTACAGGTGATTTAGAGACAGCTCGGTGTAACACTGACGGCGCTGTAGGGCATGCAAACTTCCTGTGCAAAAAGACTACAGAGCTGAATCACACCCCACGACAGACATGGAGCAGCGGCCCGGCTGTAAGAGAAAACAGCAACAGCTGAGCAGCGGATGAAAGCTAAAGGTGGGCACGGAAAGGCTGGCGGGAAACCAGAGGGTGACAAGGACCAGTGAGACACAGAGGCTGAAGCTCCGAGCAGAAGGGGCACAGCGGAAGAGCTTGACTCAGGTTGAAGCCAGAGAGAAAAACCAAAGGATGGAGACTGTATTAGATAAGCCGCCAGAGATGGGAGAAAGAAAAAAAGATTTCAACAAATTGAAGAGGCCTTGACTCAGGCCCAGCCTTAGTACTGCCAAACATAACCAAGCGTTCCCTCCTTAAGTCTGTAAGTTTAAAAATGGCCCTAGGTCACGGGGTCCTGACACTGTCCAATGACACACCTACCAAACAGACTCTGTAGCCCTAGAACAGACTGTGCGTTAGGGTGCTTGCTGCCACCTCGTAGTTGATGCAGAAGGCTAGTAAGCTGACTCTGGAACAACAACTAACCATCCGAGTACCACGCTCAGTTATAATCCAAAGGGTGTCCGGAGAGGACACCACTGGGTGTCAGAGCTGAAGGTGCCTCGGTTTCAGGCGTTCTTATGTGACAATCCTCGCATAACTCTAGAGATAATATGCACTCTTAACCTGGCTACTTGGCTGCCAGTCAAACCAGGAGTCCCCCTTAATGACTATGACTGTGCTAAAAGGCGTCCAACAACCAGGACACACAAAGGTGACCGAGCCTCCACCGACTAGAATGTCAGCCCAGACAACAAAAGTAACAGCCTCGACAAGGACTCTTTTGCTGACAGAAGACAAAAAGACTAATGTCTGTATGACTCCAGATAGAAAAAAGAGGGCTCCTGATGGCTGGGGGAAAAGGATGAAAAATTTTACAGCTTCTAGATGTTCTGTGGGCCCCAAGGAAAGTGACCACATGACAGGGCAATAGAAGCCAGAGAAAAACCAAAAGACAGACAGGGAAATAAAGTGGGTTACTGATGCCCCCAAAGAGGGGTCCCTAGTTATGCCACTCATCCTGGAGCCTCCCTCCCTGAGCCCCAAATTACTCTCAAATAAAAAATTCTGGTTTACCTGAGAAACTAAAAAATATCCAAAGGGGGGATTACAAAAGTCTGATGGGAGCCTAGCCATCCCAAAGTGTCAGGCCCCGGGTCCGTCAAATAAGTCATCAGGTGCCACATGGGAAAGACAGCACTAAAAACATTCTAGGTCAGGATTTCTATATGCTGCAACTCATTACGGTTGCTCAGTTTGAGCATTTTGTCCTCACAGGATTCATAAAGCTCAGTCTCCTTTCAAGGCTAAGTTATTAATGGCTTTGCTCGGCTTCTGTACCCCCACTTTCCCTCCCCCGCCAAGTCTCTAAAACCAGCCCCTCAGCCAAATGCGGGAAATTAGAACCTTCCCTTTGTTCTAACACCCAGCACTCTGGATACGAGTTCAGCTGGGTTAATGTGCATCTAAAATCCTGGAAATAAATCTTCCTTCTCCTCATCGGTCTCTCTGATCTCACGGATTCTGCAATATTTCAAGTTTACCTCCCAGGAAGTCCCAGGACAGGGACAGAGAGTGCACTAAGTCACTCTCTGGGCGGTGAGCCGGAGGTGGCAGTGACGCTTAGCTGGAGATTCTGGAATCTGCCTTTCTACAGAGCCTTTTTCAAACTTAGCAACTGTGCTGGGACACAGTTCATCCTGGAGACCCTCACAGGGTACAGTAAACACCGCATGTATTGAGCCCCATCTCCCTGCGGAGGCCCCCCAGTGTTGCCCCAGGAAGGAAGGATACGTTACCAGTTTAAAGATTTTGGAAAGCGTGCCCTGGGCATCATGGGCCCCCTTGAATCCCTTGGATTTGTAGTCAGCTCTGCCTCCATAGCCAAATCCTGGTTTCTGCCCCTCGGCTCCCTGCAAGAAAAGACTAGAATTCAGTATCCACTTAGGGCTGCCACCAGAGAAGGACCAGGTGGCTTCGGTGAGTTATTCCGGAGCCACAGGCCAGATAACAAGCGGGGAGACAGGAGAGGGCCCCTTGGTGTTTGGTGAGGTGTCACTTAGAGGGAGGTTTCTAGCATGGGCTGGAGCTATGCTGTGTAGACAAGTAGACAGTTTTACTGACTCTAAGTGGGGTTTCAGCACCCCCTTTCTACCTGGGTGAGTTTGGGCAGGTGCTGGAAACTTCTAAGATTGTTTCCTTACTTATGCCAGGGGCTAGTACTGGTCCTTTCTTTCCTGGGGTGTGGCGAGAACGGTAAGTCTTAGTGGAGATGCTACCCCAAGAGCACAGCTGCACACCCTCCACTCCGAGCTCACAGTGTTGAGGGACGCCTGCCTGGAGGAACAATCGTCCCACTTGGACCTCCTGCAGCTCCCCTCCCATTTCAGGGAAGGGATGAAAGTATGTCCTAGTGGGATGTAGCAGTGGCAAGTGATTTCTCAGATATGCAGACCTTTGTGTTCCAGGGTCAATTTATTTTCCAATACATGTTGTTTTCAAACATGTATTGTACTGTAAGTATGAACTTGGTGCCAATCTGTGGGGCAAGGACTTTTGCCTAGGTGCTGCATACAGGGCCATGCCAGCTACTTCTACAATTTCTGTTTCATTCAGCTAAGTTTGGGGAGAGAGAGACAGAGGCCACTCGGAGCCCAGGCAGCTAGTGTCGTGTGAACATTTGCTCTCTAGGGGTAAGGGTCAGAGGACACTTGGCAAAGAAGCTCTAAACACTGCATACTAGAGACGAGCCAGCACGACCCAGGCCTCCTCGGTAGCCCTCCGTGGCTGTGCAGCCTTGGTGATGGCACACGGGGAACTGGAGGACAGTTAGGGAGAGTGCACCAGACACACGGATGGTACATGGCTGAGCCCCCGACTCCCAGGCACATGCTAAGTCCACTGTCTCATTTTGCTGGTTTTCTCCAAAAATAAAGAGCTTCTGGGCATTCAGTTTAGAGATCTGTATTCAGAGTAATAATTTGCTTGATTTTTCCTCTTTGAAATTCTTGGTCACTTTTATCTTTGGGCAACCTAGAATTTTACCAGGAAACATACAACACAGTTTAGAAAAAGCAGATGAGGCTGTCAGAAACGCCGCACAACGAGGAGGTCCTCAGTGCTGGAAACCAGACAAGGTAATGGGACATGGGGAGGAGCGAGCTTTGGAAAAAGAACTTTAACAAACACGGTGAGAACAAAAAAGAGAATGCAGGGTCTTTCTTGTCAGCCAAAGGGCTCAAGGGACCTACAAATAACTAGGAAAAGGCAGACTTCTCACAGCATCCACATCACCCCACTTTCAGGGATGATTTCGCACAATGCCCCCAACAGTCCATGCCTAGAAAATTAACAGGCAGATAACACAAATTCTAAAACAAGATTTCTGGGTTAAAAATGGGATTTCATTCTTCAGTATCATCTTTTTCTCCTGTTGGCATAGAAAATCAGATTAATAGGCTGTGAGTATCAGTTCATGAAAATGCCCTACATTATTGTGATCTGTTTTGCAGATTCATTAGGTGAAGAAAAGCAGGCCAATAGTTATCTGTATAGAATATTCTGGCAAATGTCTTGGTTCCTCATTCAGTGTGATCACATGTTGAGATCATATGGAAGCTTCACAGAACGTTGCTCTCTCTTTTCTCAGGGGATCCTTCCTTCTCAGCCTCCCCATTTCTGCTCTTTCCTCCTGTTCTTTCTCCTTGGACTTTCTTTTAAAATTCATGCATTTATATGGTGCTTATGAACAGAGCAGCAGGTAGGGTAGCTCTGTAGTCTACTATAAAGATCCTGCAGTTTCCCAAACAATCTCCAGCCAATAGACAGGTGGTTAGCCCTCTCCTTTACTCTAAAAATTGTGTGTATTTTTTATAAAGTAAGAATTGTATCCAATACTTTCCAGCGGCAGAAGTCTATCAATTTGGTTGTTATATTAGTAGGCATTTTCGGTGACCTGACTCTGGAAAGCCAGTCAATAAGCTATTTTAAATCTTGATTGAAAACTTGCTCTTGATATTAAAAAGCCCAGGATTTCTGAGGAAGTTTTTTTGGGTGGATTAGTGTCTAAGTTTTAGTTATAAATAAAAACACAAAACCAAAATCTTTTGCATTAATGGAGTTATTGTAAGTCAATTAACTGAATCTGGCATCTTTTTCTTTTCATCAGTAGTATTATTTTTCTCAACAAAGTTTCAGCATTTGGGGTTAAATGGATTGTCGGCTACATTCCACATTCAACATTCTGGGATTGTTTTTCCAATGAGTTCAGTTAAAAGAAATTAAGAATTTTCTCCAGAACAGTACATCTTCCCTGGGGAGCAGTCTGCCAGGAACCCTTGTGAAGAGGCATCTGACCGTGCAGGGCCTGGGTTCCCAGATCCAGAAACAAGACAGCTTGGTACACTGCCGGGGAAGACCAGGTCTGCTTTTCCCCATGCAGAAGTGAGAGCAGCCCATCAACCAGAAGTAAAAGTAATCCATTAACCTCTGGGCAAACTGGTCTGGATAGGAAAGAAGAGGCAGGACGTTAAGTGAGTGAGAGGGCAGAACACAGATGTCAAGGCATCGTGGGGACCAAGAGGAGGAGGAAGCTGAGGGGAAATGCATTTGTCACCTACCCAGCTAAATCTGCTGAGGGACAATCCTCTTCCCTGTGTGAGGAAGAGAAAGAAACAATGGCGTCATGATCAGCTGGGAGAAAAATTTTTCTAAACAAGAAACACAATCAAACAGCCTAGCGCAGGGACAAGGGACAGGCTCAGGACGCAGCCCAGACCTAGCGGGTGGGAGGATTCTCGGCACTACCAGCCCCACTTCACTGGAAGTCATACGGCAAAAAGGTTGTGGAAAGGATTCAGGTGGCCCTGAGCCCATCTTTTATGTCACATTTTGGGATTTTCAGGGAACACTCATGAATAAAGGGATGAGTGATCAAAACATTCCATGGGCTTACCTTTCCTTGAGACGGAGGAGGTGTGCGGGGTGTCACCTGGAAGACACAAGAGAAGGTGGGCTTGGGGAGCTGCCCTCCCGCTGAGAGCCCTGGAGCCCGCCTCCCTGCCTCCCACCCACCCACTCGCCGCCAGCTTCCCCGCTTCTGTCCTAGATGAGGGAGAAACGTGGTGCTGATAATCTGCGGCTGCTGGAGGCTGGACAGGTCTGCCACACTGCACAGGATGCACCCCACGGCTCTTCAGCTGGGAGCCCCTGCGTGACCCTGTGACAAGGAACCTGAGCTCCTTTCCTCACCTGCCTCTGACGTTCAGAGCTCTGAGGGGAGTACTGTCAGGCCTGTGGGTCCTGAATTCACCCAGCAGAATCTTACCTTAAATGTCTGCTGTACCGGGATTTTTTTACCACTGTGTTCTTGTTTCTAACAATCTTTATCTTGCAGAGCAGTTTTAAATTTACAGAAAAATTGTGCAGAAATTAGACTTCCCATATGCTACTGTGTGCCTTATTAACTAACTCCTGTACATTAGTGTAGTTCATAACTAATGAGCAAATACCAATACATTAGTATCAGTAGTAACTGATTGGTTTCCACCAGGGTTTGCTTTATGCTGTGCAACTATGGTGTTGCACACATGTACGTCCATATCCGCTATCACAGTGTCACACAGAGCAGTTTGCTGCTCTAAAAATGCCCTGTGCTCCCCTTGTTCATTCCCCCTGTTCTCTGACTTGGGTGACCACTAATCATTTTTCTGTTGTTATGGTTCTGCAAAGCTGTGTTCAAATTACACATCACCTAGTGGCACGGAAACAAGTGAATTCCTGCCAGCACCCGCCATTCCATGGTGGCAGACGCAGTCTAGAAGGGCTGGTTTGGAACTTGGGACTCTGGGGCAGCTCCCACGGAGGGCTGGCGCCACAAAGCCAGCCACACTGTGAGGAGGACTTTGTGTTTGCTGTGGGTGTACGAGCCTGGCGGGGACAGCAGCTGCCAGCAGACTCCCGCTTTGCAGTCCCTGTGTACCCCTGGTGCCGGCACTCACAATGTTCTTGAAGAAGTGGACTACAGGGTTTTCATCTTGGGACCGCTGCGACTTCTGGGGCAGGGAGCCATAGTGGGTCGTTCTTGCTGCGTGATGTGAGTCCTGAAAGAGAGAGGCACAGGTGCTCAGGATGACCCGAGGCCAGGTCTGGTCCTCCCCAGGAAACGTGAATCTCATTCACTTGGGAACTGTAACAGTTTTTTTGTTTCGAAGGACCTTATACTAGGAAGCTGCTAATGATTCACCAGATACACAGAGGCAGGTATGGAACTTGGGCAAATGTCGCCTCGAAACCACATTGCGTTTAGTAGATATTTCTATCGCTGCTGCTGTCATAGAAGGTACAGTGTGATCCTAGGGTGACTTCAGTTAATGCAGGAGCAGGGTAGGCAAAGCCCTGAGAGGAACTGCTAGCTACCCCAGGGTTCTATTTGGATAAAAGAAAATGCCCAGGAGTTACACATAAAGCAACCTATCACAGCGAAAGACAAATCTACTCAGAGGCTTTGTGACATGCGCTCACCACTGCTTCTCAAAACTCTTTTGGCTGCCACGGCACTTGGTCAGCCAGGTGTGGGGCAGTCACCTCTGTGTCGTCAGTAAGAAGGAAGCCAAGAGGTGTGAGCGCTGGGGCTGACTCATCAGCAAACTCTCAGAAGTTTCCAGGCCAGTAAGTGCTGTACAGATGACACCCAACGGCCAGCGCGGGGACAGAACTACCTTGCGGGGAAGTGTGGGCTGCTGCCGTCCTCACTGGCTTCCCTCAGCTACAACTGCCCAGTACAGTCAGCACCATGCGGTGAGAGCGAGCAGAGGACAGTGACCATGTCCGGCTGAGTGTCCATGGACAAGAAGCCCGCTGGAGGAGACTTTGAAACATGACAGTTCTCAGAAAGACTGAGGAAAGAGACTTGAAGGAGAGACACGGAATAGATGCTGCTGATTTTCCTGTTCTTGCTCCACTGTTCCCAGCTCAGGCGTAAGTGTGGTGCATGGGAGGAACCTGAGCTCTCAGGCAGAGAGACCACAGCAGGACATCCCGGAGGCCAGAGGTGCTCTGGCCAGGCTGCCTGACCGCAGAAGCCCGTCAGTCAGGTGGAAAGTCCTTCAAATCATCCCTTCCACATTCCCTGCGCACAGGTTAGCAGGATCCTTCCCCCTCAAGAAACAGTTTCACCACTGAAAAGTCTGAAGGGGCTTTTGCAGAGTTTATGACAATGCATTCAATGCAGCTCTTGCCTGTCAGAGCCGAGGGACACTGTCTGTCAACCGCTCAGCCCTCTGGGGCACTCGCTTTGTCCAATCTGATACCTCGCAGTCGCCATGGCCATTTCCCCTGATCTCCCGGATGATGACAACTCAAAATGCTTCCTGCACTCCCTCCTCCTCCTCCTGCTCCCCCTCCTCCTCCCTGTGGGGTCCCCCGCCTGCTCACCCCCAGGGGAAACCCTGAGAGCCCTCCATCCTGCCTGTCTCCCTCTGGCTAGGGTCCCCCAGCTGACTGCACTTCCTCACCCTCACCCCCGGGCCAGTTCACATTACACACAGCACTCAGCTTTCTGAAACACACGTGGAAAACCCTTGGCTTCCCCCTGCCGTGTGCCCAGTGGCCCACAGAATGAGATCCATCCTCAAGCACTTCTGAAAGCCTCATCAACTGTGAGGGGCCTGACCTTCTAGACCCCACCGAGCAGCTGCTCTAGTCTCTAGATCATTCCCAGCATCTACCCTGGGCCGCAGCCGTGTCCGCCTTCTGCGTAGATGTCACACGTGCTGTCTCCTGAGGTGCCTCCTTCTCCTTCCTCTTCAAGCCCAGAGTGCATGTGCACTGTGCAGACCTGCTTGAGTGCCTGTGCAGCTGTGGGGCATCGCCGTGTGCCCGGGTGTCATTGGTCTTTCTTAACCAAGCTGTGAACACCCAGGTACAGAGGGTGTCACTTATCATCTGTGATGCCTCGAAATGACTTCGGTCACTGCCAGACGTGGCCCACCCTCTGTAAACACAGCAGATGCCAAACAGACAAAAATCTTGCCCAGAGTTTTGGAATAAATTAGCATATGAAAAATGACTCCAGTTTGGTTTCTGGATCTCTTAGCAATTGTAACCTCATATTTTACACTTAGCTGTGTTCTTCCCTGCATCTTGTTTGTTAGCCTGTAACAATTAGGCTGTACGGCTTTCTGGGGCAGAGAGGATGGTTAACACACGAATGTACCATTTCTAGGATGCAACTTGCCCTCCTCTGGGGCCTGGCCCTCGGTACACTTGTCCTTATTTCCACTGTGACAGAGCAGTCAGGGAGTTGCGACGGCTTGCTTGGTTTCCTCACAGGCAGACACCATGGGTACCAGAACTTGAGACGTCACAGCAGTGGGGCAGTGTTGCCACTCGGATTCTTCCCATTGCGACTGATTCTCCCTGTTGCTGCGAGTACCTGGATCACTGTCTGGTCCTCCTGTTACCTAGTCTCACCTGGGCCTGACTGAGGAAATCAGCCAGTTATGTCCACTCACCCCAGACTGGCCATGCACAGCCTTCTCCAAGAGGCAAGGTGTAAAGCGAGGAGTTAGAAACCAAAGTATCCAGGCCCAGATGCCGTTCAATTAAATATCATTGAAGTTTTGGATGAATAACTTTAAGTGTCCACTGTGTTTATAGGCTATGTCCTCATGGCCTGAAATAATTGAAACAGTCCAAGCTTCAGTGTAGTTTATATTTCTCCTGGTGTTCCCATGCCATGTTCTACCTGTTGTGTTTTTGATTTTGGAGTCTGGATTTTGCTGTGTTGGATTCTGAATCACAGAACATTGTCTGCCTTTGAATCCTTCACCTGCCATCCCCATAGCAACACAGCATTTGTGGTACTGGAAAAAACTTCTCAGGTCTACATAGAGGATTCTAGGGATTACATGCTCCACAGATCTCACACTGATAATATCGTTGTGCTGTGAGAAATTAAAAAATATCACATGGACAGTGTGTTACACGTACACCCCTGTTTTGAGTAGCAAAAGAAAAGCTATATTTGTGTGTGTGTGTGTGTGTGTGTGTGTGTGTGTGTGTGATGAGTGGTACCAGGGGTTAAATGCAGAGGTGTTCTACAAATGAACTTCATTTTAGCCCTTTTTAGTAATTTTACATTTTGAGGCAAGGTCTTGCTAAATTGCCCAGATTGCCTTGAACTACTGGTCCTCTTTGCCTCAGCCTCCTGACTAGCTGGGACTACAGGCATGCAATTTTTGTCAGTTACTTTTATAATGAATATGTTGGTGGCCAGACTTCTGACGGGAGAATCATTTAAATCTAAGTGATTTTTGAAGTTGGTAGGTTGCATCTTAGTGCTCAAAACTACACAATCTCAAGTCAGTACTGTTCACAAAAAAGGGAAATTGGCATATCTATAGACCTCAGCACAGAGCTAAGTGTGCAATAAGCCTCAGCTGTTTGCTGAACTACATTTAGATCACTTTTAGTATAGAGCCTAACACATGGAGTAAGTCTGGGCTATTATCGTCATACAAATTGGCTATATACACGTTCAAGAGCGACTGTACTGACTTTGATTTGGGCTTCTTTGCTATAAATTGTCAGTTACACAGATCAGTTGAGGTAGTTATAACTTTTTTTTAGTTATACTTGCCTATTACTGAAAAAAACAGCTAGCCATAGTATTTCTATATACTAGCAATCAACAATTAAACACAACAAAAAATGTAAAAATACACAATAGCATCAAAGAAACAACATGCTAGATGTGACTCTGACAAAACATATATAGATCTTTATAAGGAAATCAAAGAATATTTAATTGGAGTGAGAGACTATGTTCATGGATTAGGACAGTCAACAGAGTGAAAATGTTAATTTTCTCCAAACCAATCTACAGGTTTAGTGTAACTGCAAGTAGTATTTTGATTAGAGACAGGCAAGCTGATTCTAAAACTGTATGGGAACCAGAAGAGCCAAGCAATGTAAGACAGAAAAAGAAAAAGAGGAATCACATCACTATTTTAAGAGTCATTGTACAGCTGTAGTCCTCAGGGTGCGGAGCACTGGAAAAGGGATAGACACATAGATCCTTGGCCCAGAAGGGAATCTAGAGTTCCACACCCTCACAGAGACAATCAATTGATCTTGATAAAGGTACAAAGACAACCAATGAAGGAAGGAAAACCCTTTCAACAATTGACGCTGGAACCAGTGGGCATCCAAGGACCCAAAAAGAAAAAGAAAGCAAAGGAACCTCAACCTCAGATGACATCTTACACAGAATTTAAAATGGTTCATAAATTGCTGCTTACAAGGTAAAAAAGTCTAAAGTTTTAAAAGAAAACAGGAGCTCCTCATGCCCTGGGGGTTGGTGAGCAATTCATCCATCTCACTCCAAAAGCCTGATTTAAAAAAAAACTAAAGTGGATGCACTGAATCTCATCAAATATGAAAGCTTTTGTTTCGTAAGAAATGCAGTTAAGGGAATGAAAGGACAAGCTAAAGACCTGGAGAAAATATTTGTAAATTGCACGTAAAACAAAGACATGAAACTTAAGGTATAGAAATATGCTCAAAACTCAGGAAGAAAACAACCTGTTAAACTTTAGAAAAATACTTAACACCAAAGAGGATGTATAGAAGGCAAATTGGCAGAGTTCAACAGTATTAACCATTTGGAAAACGCAACTCCAACATGAGGTGAGCTTGCACATGCCTGCTACAGTGACTAATATGAGACACTGGCCATACTCAGCACTGTGAGAATGAACTCCCCACAGCCACTCTGAAAAACAAACTGGTATTTTCTTGTCAAGTTAATCATGTGCTTATTATTTGACCCTGAAATCCCACTTCCTTCTTTGAATGATAAAAAAGAAAAGATATATATTTTTGGAAATGATTTTTGTAATGAATACATTGATCATCAATCTTGTGAAGAAAAAGAATTTAAATCTTAAATTCTTATGTTCACACAAAATAAGCATGAATGCTTATAGTAGTTCAATTCATAGTCACTAAATACTACAAGCAACCCAAATATTCTACAGTGGACAAAATGATAAAATCACTGTGGTACATCCATACAGTGAAATACTACTCAACAGTGGAA